TTATATCGTTATAAATTTTTACTATACTGAAATGTTTTTGTGGTTGTAAAACTACCGTATTAAACATTTTTTATTACTTCGAGATTAATTAAATCATTTTTCACTAGAATTAATTGTACATTATTTTTTTTCCTTTTTTTCTTTCTGTACTCAATTCTACTACACTGTGGTTCCGTACTGAAGTTTTAAAGATTAAACGTTGGCTTCATACACACGAGACACAATATAATAGTGTTCTTTTTTTAAATCCGTAACATAATTTTACTAATTATATGTAAATTGTCTGACATTAATTTATGCTTATAATTATTCGATTAGTTAGTGATTAGAGAATCCTTTTTTGTTTTAATTAAACTATTAAACAACAAACATTGAACACAAGTAAATTAAATGCCTATTGAATAAATAACAAATTAATTATTTATGTTCATAAACATCTAAATATTATTAATTATCTTAATTATGTTAGAAACACTTCTTTTTTATACTAATGCGAATCAAATGTACCTATATACGTATATGTTTTGTTTTATAGGAGGCGAAAAACAACATAAACTTAATATTATCTTACTTCTTACTAATATCATAAATGCGTTTGTATGGATGGATGTTAGTTAGAGTTTGCAGTATAAACGGCTTAACGTATCTCAATGTTGGTATAGATGTAGAGGATAGTCTTAAAGAACACATAGGCATACACATAGTCATAGTTATACACTTTTGTTTTCTATTTCCACGCGGACGGAGTCACGGGCGAAAGCTAGTAAGAAACAAATAACCCTTTGCTATATGCACGTTTCTTTTATTTTTAGTATAACAGTCCAATTTAGATTGATTAAATTCAATTCTTATTTGAAACAATATTAAACTTTTTAAAACACATGATGTCAACTAGATTATTAAAATCTCATGAAAAGAAAGTCAATTTTACTTCTCTTAATAGAAAATCCAATGAACATCGACTAATATCACTAATAAAGATAAGCGCAGTGGCATTTAATCATGTTGCACAACTTTTACTTTGCCCGGAAGTTGAAACACGTGAGAAAAAAAGTTAACGCTACATAATACCCACAGGCATATGTTCAAATGACCTATAAGTTTTTATTTGATAAACAAATAAATTTGATTATATTAGAGGAACTTTGAGAGTAATCCCAGAGGTAGAGAAAGTAAGGAGTAAAAGGTTAGCATGGTATAGGCATGTGGAGGGATGAATCGCTTGTAACAAGGAGAACGTTAGTTATGAATGTGGAGATACACTGGTAGAGGTGACATGATCATAAGGGAGACTTATGATAGTTATGTGGAGGACAAAAACCTGTCGCGCCGACCTTACGGGAGTAGAATAAGGAGGAAAATTATAAAATAAGTTCATACAATAATTTATTAATTAAATAAATTATAGCAATACAGATATTTAATTCTCCGTAAATCGGATTTTATTAAAGACGAGCTCATTCTTTTTAAAACAACTGCATTACCGGATTAAAAGAATGACATAAGTGTGTCATGTAAGTACCTATCGATAGAATGATAACACCAATACCGGTTCATGGCTCTAGGCTAGAGGTATACAGTCAATAAAACTCGGCCAATATTTGTATATGAACACTTGTAACATTAACGGATCTTTTCTGAATGTTTATTTGACCTAATAAAATATTTTAATCACTTTCATTTATTAATTCACTAGCTTTCGGCCGCGACTCTACGCGTGGAATTGAAAAGAAAACAAAAGTGAGTAGTGTTCTATACCAAATTTCATCGAAATCCGTTCAGGCTACAAACTCTTAACAAACATCCATCCATTCCTCTAGTGTCGCTTTTATAATATTAAGTATGAAAGGTATTCAATTTGGATAATACGTCTCAGTTCAGTCGAATCTAATACTAAAACTAATTTTATACAGTTCACTTCGTAAGTGCCTCTTACAATCTAACGTACTCTAAAATTTTAATGGAATTTGGAGTTTATGTGTGGCTTTATCATTTGAGACACGTTCATTTAAATATCGTTTCAGTAATCGGCTGATTTTTATGTAAAAAATCTTTGACGTAAGAAATTGTTGTAATGTTAAGTGGCACCATCCCATAGAGTTTAACACAGATTTATTTTTAGACCGCGCGGCTACTTGTGTAAAGAAACAGGTGAATTACACATTGTTATTACGGTCATTGATAAGGTAATGATACTTTAACGATGATGCCAAACAATTCGTGGAACGGTGTAAAATAATGAATGAGTTGAAAGTTTTCAAAATCATAGTAAAAAAAAGTTCATATTACACTTCAATGCAACAAGATGAATGATGAAGCATGATTGAATGTTTCAATAACTGAATGACATGACTCAGGCTGGCAAAAAAGTCATACAACGAGAAGCTCTATGACATCAAAACCTGCTTGTAAGCTTTAGCATGGTTTAATTTTTTACAAACGTCCTCGCTGCAACACTACACCTTAATAAAGAACCTTCAGAAAACCGCTTGAGAGATATTTAAAATTAGACAAATTGACGTCAACTTTTTCTTATTAGAATCTCATTTAGAGTAAATATAAAATTTTAACACGTACTTAGGATATTACTGTACTGCCATATTTGTAGTGTTAAATGTAACTTTTAGGAAGTTAAATTCTAGTTAGATTTACTATATTTATACTCTGGGTCTGCTTAGATTATCAACGCCTAAGAATTCACATTGATTACTAAGCTAGAAGAAGACCCAAGAAAATATGGATGGATTATGTCAAAGAATATACAACGTAAGATAGGACTGAATTCAGATATGACAGTTGTTCTCTATCAGTCAATCATCCCTATGTATGAAAGAGTACTACGCCGACACTCTGTAGGGACAAAAACTGATTGATGATGAATTTTGTACGTATAAATAATTAGTAATATATCATGTGTTCTTTTTACATTTAAGGTATAAAATTAATATAACATAGAGTTGTAAAGACGCCATGTATTCTTTGACGTAATAATGTGCTACCAACATAATTGCATCAATATTACCTTGGATTAGTAATCGAGTACTATTCAATGTTTATATTATTGCTTCCCCTATCCGATGTTACGTGTTGTAATGTTGAATGCTAATTAATACCAATGAATGGTGTGTTAAACATTTCACTCTCTTATTGTAAAAGTTATTTATAATGTGGATATACCAACATTTTCTTTAAAATAGACATATTTCATTCGCATTAGAAGACGTGCTGTGTTTTATCCAAAGATTTAGCAACAAAATATTTCATAAAGAAACTGTTAGTTTCTAACAAAGTCAGTCAACGGAACTGAAAAAGATGTAGTCAAAATATGTGTAAATTATTTACAATGAAATATATGAACTGACTTCACTCATATAAAACTTCATGTAAAAGTTCAAAAACCTTTAACAATCATAATTAATTTTACAATTTGAATTTTGGTGCTATTAACACAGTAACATCTTCATAACTTAGGATACGATTAAGATGTATGCCGTATAGATTAAATAGTACTGAAGTTTTTTAAGTATAGGTTAACTTAACGTATTTTTTTTTACAAAGAAACTGTGACAATTGTACAGCGCAACGGACGCAAGCAACGCACGTGATAGATAGGACAAAATAGTGTTATTTATTAGAACCTTTGATGTTAAAATGTGGTACTTAATACCAACTGAGATAAAATGATAATTATTTTCTATTTATGTATTTCGTGTGAAATAGTTTAGTTATACTTAATTTAACCTTCGTAGTGGTGATGTTTAGTACTGGCAGCTAAAATGTAAAAGAGGTATAAAAAGACCCTTCCGGTCAGAACACTCTCTCTTCCGTGGAGTCAGTGTAGCGAGTGGACTTTCGAGGAGCGGACCATGGGCCTGACCATGGAGAGTTAAGTAACCTATTTTATATTCACTGTAATACCTCTTAATAAATAACTGTAATAACCTTACCATTTGTACAAAGCTATTTTGTATATAAAAGTATATATGGGTTGTTGGACAAGCAATGTCAATCATGACAATTATGTGAATTGCATTTTATAATTTGTATTGGTTAATACTATTTATGAGATCTCTATAATATTGTGTTGTTTTACTAATTGAATTAATGAATATATGCTTCGTAAAGTTGCTTGTTGTTTCTATTCATATCCAGGTTTGCCTCATAAGGAAATGGTTAGCTGTCACTTTCATTTATTAACAGACGTCCATATTTAATATATTCCCATACAACTTCAAATGATTTTTGAAACTAAATTAGATGTTTGACTCTCTAAATTACTGTAGTTGTAGCATTTACTTATTGAATCTGAGTACGATTCTAACACACGCATATGTTATTTCATTTAGCACATTTATCTTCAACATGACAATCTACAACTACTTCTAGCGTTGTGGATACAAAAATATATCTTTAAGTTTACATTATAATTCAAAGCAACGGTTGTTATTCCAGCAACGTGATCACATTGATCACTTGTGCGATACATGATACACAAAAGTCAAACGTAAAAATGATATCACTATCAAATATATCTCCGACTATTTGCATATTAAATGTCGAAGGTTTTTAAAATAAAGTGAAGAGCAATAAAAAGGCTATAAATTACAAAAAAAAATGCATTCCTATCAGCTGCTAAATATTAAGCACTTGGTGTTTTTTTTTTTATTATTTGAACTGACATTTTTGATTGCACTCTCTTATTATTATAACAAAGGTATTTTAAAATTCAATAGTTTTATTACAAAAATATTATAGATCTCGAGAAGCAATTAATCAAATGAATAATGATCCTTTAGTTTAATATGTAACAATGGAAAAAAATAAACGTTCACAAAAAACAACTAAAATTATTTTCCGATTCTCTAATGTTTACGTTAAAAATCACGCAACTACTGTAGCCTTCCAAAACATAATAATATTATAAAATGCCGTCAAATACGTCACGTAAAAGTAATATCAATAAAGATACAAAATAAATTACATGGTATGTTTTTTTACAGGAAATGGATGGAAGAAATCGCTTTAGCGAGCAAACAGGGCCGGAAACCGTCGCTTCTCCGCGCGATGACCAAGGCATTCTGGTTGAGCTACGCACCTTCCGGCATCATGTTTTTCATTCAAGCACTCATCCTCAAGTAATAATCTATTAATTATTTATTTAACACATAACGATATGCCCGCGCCATTTATTGATATTGCAAATTACCTTGTAATTACAACAATTACAACGTTTCGCGATTTTACGCGAATTACTACTTTTAAGTGACAGTCATAACTTCGTGATGTTTACCTTAATGCATAAAGCGATTATGAATGAATTTGCGCTTGCATATAATATATGCCATATATGACAATATACACATATGACATATTATGCCAGTTTCTACTGCCTGACCTTTGAGCGGTTGTACCGATATTAAAGATGACTAAAGTCTGCTTAAAGTTTTAAAATCCAAATCCCATAATTTCTGGTAGTCTGTTTAAAAGATTCCAAAGAGGGAACGAATATAACCTACCTCCAGTTTTATCTGTACAGTTCGATTGTTCAATAAAACAATTTTAACTGTAGAGATCGGTTCTTCTATTGAAACTGGTGTGTCACTTGGATCCTTTTAGCTACTTTTATTTGCATTTAGCGAATTAAAAAAAATGCTATTATAGTTACTTTAGTTTTTGAATATTCGACGTGTGAATATGCAAATGATGTTTTGTTGTCTAAGACATAATTAAAAACAAAGTCATGTGGAATGCAATAAAGCCTTATCGATCACGGAAGAAATCTAAGCAACGATCTATGCATGAACCTTGGTTAAAACTGCATAAAGGCTACGAAAATGAGATTCTAGTTATTAAAACTCTCTTTAAAATCTTACGTAAAGTTTTATAAAAAACATTGAAATTAGAATACAAAAACTCGCGTGCACTTCTATCTCGATCGTTACATAACTACAGCTATTAAAAACGATGCCAAAAAAGTTGATGCAAAATTATTAACGTTGGTAGCAGACATCCGAAATCTTGCACCAAACGAACTCTGACTTACTGAAAAAGTTTTTACTAGCATGCATATTCAAAATCAAATAATTTATAAACCCACTTAAACACAATATGTTCGTTTTTCAAATTGTATATACCATATTTTATAACACTGCCGTTTATTAAATAAGCTTTGAATAGTATAAAGCAACAAGGCTATTAACTAGTTGTGCAAAGATTGCAAGTCTGCCAATACAAATGTCAGCTAACAATGTTCATTTAACTTGACAAGGTTGTGACACATCAAGAAGTAATCACGTCAGATTGAGATTGGTATGCCTACGCATTTAATAATCATCTTTTTCAAAGGAAAAAGGAAAGCTTAATGACAAATATTAACGTATTTGTAAAAATAGGATAAAGCATACTTGACGCATTTAGAGCATTATAAAATGTACCTTGATTGGTTAGAAGTTAAATACGTTTGAGTAGTATGATCTGCTGAAAGGTCTAGAACTTTTTTGTCTAAATTAAATTTCTCTCACGATTTTACGTCTCAAAAAAATAAACGAGGAATTATTTCGTCGTTTACTTATCAGATGTCAACAAAGCTGGAAATATATATGTTACAGAATAGTTAGTAGATCGTGATTTGTTGAGCTGATTGATTTCAACCACGACAGTTGACTTCTATCGCCAAGAAAAAATTACACATCTTATACTTACCTCTATAATTATCAGAACTTTGGATTAGGTTTGAAGAAAAAAGTAGTTATCTCTAAAACAGCATAACGGAATCGGTAAATTTTGTCACAGATATGGAAGGTACTCTGGAAGAAAACTCGATACTTACTAACGACGTTACAGGCTTGATTTATAATAAATTTATTATCACCAGACCGTTCCAACCTGTTGCCTTGAGCATGCTGCTTGCGTACTGGGAACCGGGCTCGACTATGACGTACGATCAGGCAGTGTACTGCGCCACGGCCGTCATCATGATGTCCCTACTGATCGCGTTCGTCAACCACCACGGCACCTACTCCACGCAGCAGTTTGGAATGAAGGTCCGCATCGCTGCCTGCTCACTCATTTATAGAAAGGTATGTTTATACATAACAATTACTTTTATCAGTAACTAGCTGCTGCTGGCGACTTCGTTCGCGTGAAATTAATAAAATAATAAAAAAATATAATCTATGTTACAGATAAATTACCTTTCTAACGGTCGAAGAATTTTTTAAATCACCTCAATAGTTTTTGAATTATTTTGATACATACAAAAATATAAATCTTTCCTATTTATAATATTTGTATAGATATAGATATAGACTGCATAGGCAACAAATGTAAATAGATTTATTAAACTGTGTAAACTTTCATGAAACAGTGTTAAAAGCGAATTAAAGACGGGTTGAATCACGTTAACGTTACGTGAAACCAGTCATTGACGTCACTGGGAGATTAAACGTGAGTTTAGCAGTCTTTGAATCGCTTTACATTTATTATTACACACAAAATATTAAAGGTTGTATTTATTCTAGTTTTTTATTAGAAAGTGGATGTTATTCATCTTTGAGTAATTTCAAAGTATTTTTAAGGATTGCTTTTTAATCTGCTCCATATTAATATATCAGGAAATTGAACATTTTAAAAGTTTTTCCTAAAATCGAATACTTCATTCCAAAAGATTTATTCCATTAGATTTAAACTTTTTATGCAGACACGAACAGTTAAATGCACATTAAATATGCATAACTTAAAACGTTGCGTTTTAATTAGTAATAATTTACAACAATCTTACGAAGCATACTTTACATAAGAATATGCGAAGTTTCACGTTTTTCGCACGAAGACAAAGTTACTAGATAAGCTCCGTAAATACAGTAAATAAATCCTTTAGACAAGATAACACATAATAATGGCGTAATACTGGCTGCTTATTTGTTTCGTCTACCTGTCTCGTTATCTTGTACGATTGTAAAGTATTTTTCTTAAGTCAAAGAAATTTACACAGTTGTATAAACCCACTTTATCGGGAGAAAAACGGACAAACGAATTAATTACCTTTTGGAGTCGATTAAAATGATGTACATACATGGGTATACATAGGTGGGTCTTAACACAGATACAGTCCAAGAAATATATAATAGGGGTAACATAGCATGATAAAATCGTACTAGTGCCAACACTATAAGAAAGGATGGTTTATTGCTTGCCCATTGCATTGATTGTAGCAGATTCGAAAGACCACTCACCTGGAGTTCATAACCAATTTCCAAAAGAAGGTGGTTCTTAATTCGTCTGTATGTTTTATTTGTAATATATTTATATTGTTTTAGGTGATGCGCATGAGCTCCGGCGCGCTAGCACAGACAACGGCTGGACAGGTCGTCAACCTATTGTCTAATGACGTGAACCGCTTCGACTACGCGTTCATCTATACCCACTTCATCTGGCTGCTGCCGCTGCAGGTCATGCTCGTCTGCTACCTCATATACTCCAAGATCGGCATCGCAGCTGTCGTCGGCGTCGTTGGAATCGTTCTACAAACCATACCAGTTCAATGTAAATTACGCAAATTCTTCATCTAACTTGAATTTTTAAGACCTCACCTTTATTAGCTAACTAGCTGTTACCGTGCGGCTTCATCCGCATGAAATAATGAAAATTTTATTTTATTATTTACATTTGTTAAATTATCAATAGCAAATGTCAAAATGACATGACATGACAAAACTTGACAATCTTGCTTCCTTGATGTTGGCAGCAACTTATGGTATCTGTCCCACATTAGGGTTTTTATCCAAAATTTTTAATGGCGTGAATATTTATAACCTAAAGAGTGACGCAAGTGTAGGGTTTATTTTTATTAAAAAAAAAATTATTCAAAAATATGTTGTAATAGCTCACATCTTAGGCAACAAAGAAGTGTGTGTTTACGCTTTATAATAGTTTAGATTGCCTGCGATGATTCTAAGTGTATTTAATTAGTGAAATTTGAAGTTAAATATGTATTAAGGGGGAGGTATATTTAAGTAATTTTATTCCAGCATATATGAGCAAGTTGGCAGCACGCTTGCGTATGAAGACCGCTTGCAAGACCGACGAGCGAGTACGCATTATGGATGAAATCATTAACGGCATGCAGGTAATGTTTTAGCATTGATTCCTTATAACATACTACTAAATAAAACTACTTGGCACGTTTTGTATGAGAAGCTAGACAACGAACTTAAGACTCTTACTAAAGATCACTCAATATCTGAAGCTGACAAGATTACGCATACATTATCAACTTATCCTTTTACTGGCTGTTTTTGTTCCTATTTTTATAAAAAGTTATACTGACACCGTTTATCTTAAAGGCAAATTGTATTATCGTGAACATTAATTTTCATTGATTGTAACTTATAGACTAGATAAATTATTTAAATGATTTTCCATTAGTAACATATTATCAATCCCAAAAACATTGTAATGTCCTTGTCGGTAAAACATGTACCTATTAATACAACAACTTAGAAATCAATTCACGTCAATTGCCATCAACAAAGTTTAAATATTCAAAACCTATAAAACGGGGGCATACTTACATATCAATTTTTAGAAGAAAATGTTAGATTTCCAATCCAAATTTCGTTCCAAATACAAATTTCATTTTTTCTGTCTGTTGCCAGCATTTTGGCCTTACCGTTTTTGAAGTAATTAATTCAATAAATTACAAAACTTAAATCATCCGATCGTTTCAGGTCATCAAAATGTACGCTTGGGAGAAACCATTCGAAAAGGTCGTGGCGTTGGCTCGAAAAAACGAAATTAAATGCGTGACATCGGCGTCATACCTCCGCGGTGTCTACCTCAGCTTCATGGTGTTTACGGAACGACTGACGCTTTACACCACGCTACTGTCTTACTCTTTACTAGGCTATCAAGTTACAGCTGATATCGTAAGTTTTACATATTATGTTTAAATTGACACAGAATAACATTACAAAATCAGCGAGTAACAAAATGTTACGCAGTTAAATAAGACTATTCAAAAATGATCTTAAGGAATCGTAAAATTATGCATTTTTGTATGTTCTCTGTGGCCTGAACTGATGTTTTGTTTTGTGTCTGATGAAATAAGTGTGATTGTATACATCATAAAAAAAACGGTATGAATAATGCTCTAAATTACAGGTATTTCCTTTAGCGCAATTTTACAACACTCTCCAAGGGACCCTTTCGATTATAATGTCAAACGCTGTGTCGTTTTTGGCAGAAGCATTGATCTCTGTGCAGCGGCTCGAAGCGTTCATGTTATTTGGTGAGAGCCCGACGTGGACTGCGCAGTGCATCTAAGCATGACATGCATTATCTTAACCCTTTCCAAAGTAGCACGAGTCCAAACTATAGCTCTGACTCGAATAACGTAATTAATTGTAGTGTAATATAGAAGTAATTACTGTAACTATTAATTTAAGGAATATTAATACCGCTAATATAATCTGTGATAATCTAACATAATCAAATCAAAATAACAGCTACAATTGGGACAACGAAGATGACTTCGGAATTACAACATTTTATAAAAATATTTTTTCTTTGTTGAATGGTAACAAGTTTTGTAATATAAAGGGCATGGTAGATGTATGAACGTTAATGACGCATGTTAAGTGGCAACCAACACCTTAGCCATATCTGAATGTTGGACGTGCGTCGTGTATGTTATTGAAATGGATTGATTTTCGCAGGCATTCCCCATGGCTCAAATGTTCAACATACTTCAAGCGACTGTAGCCATCGTCTTGCCGATGACACTTTCACAGTCGATGGAGGCCTACACTTCCGTTCTTCGTATACAGGCTCTTTTACTATTGGGTACGATAGCACCAAGTCGGTTTTCAAAATGGTTGTCGTGTGAAAAGTCCTGAAGTGTCGTCGGTTGTTGTTCGATGTTTAAAATTTTTAATCCCTGTTTGCTATGTATTAACAATGCTGCTCTACTGCCATTATTATTAAACACTAACACCTTCAGCGTGGGAATGTTAACAATGCATCCAATGTTATCTGTACAAGTATTACCATTTTTGATTTCATGATTAATGTTTTAATTGACATTTTATTCTTTTATTAATTATTGCGCAAAGAATAATATTAATAATACATATTTGCTAATTACAAATTCTTATTTAGTTAATTAGGACATTTATAAGTGGGTTGGTACGGTAAGATTTTGTTGACGCAATAAAGTTAAAATGTTTATTATGATAATGTACAGATGAACGTGAAGATCTCCGAAGTGTCCCCGACGTTGATATTGCGAAGCTCGTACAAAGAGTTGAACAAAAGAAAAATAAAAATTTAGGAGAAATAGATCTTTGCTCGGATACATTTAAGAAAATTGATGAGGACGGAATCTTTAACCCAGGTATGTTTGCAGCATTAACTTACGAGTAACTTATTGATCATTCACACATTTTAGTGGCAATTACATTTCAGAATTACATATGCTTTAAGTTCCTTGCAAAATTCTACTAATTTATATATTCGTCACGTGTCGTAACGGAATATCTTGACGACAACGCAATCCAATTCATTTAAAAAAATGTCTGTGTAAAATAATGTCTTACACCTAATTTGTTAATAAAACAATACAGTATTAAATATAACAAGTTCAGGTGCATTGCATAGCAGACGTTTACGCATAGAATAGTCGCATTAACGTAACAGAGTTAAAACATATAACTCTCACTCTAATTACAAATTGACATCACGTTTAAAATTTAAACATGCTTCGCTCGACATGGAAAGTGTTCGGATCTATCGTTTTCACACCAAGCATTTAAGTCACGGGTCCAACGACCCCAACTGTTAAACAAAAAATCCCATACATCGAAATGTGCAATTAAAGATTTTTTATTTAAAGTAATAGACTATCGACTGTTCCAATACTGATCTGACTTAGAAATCATAGGACAAGGTTTCTTTAAAACAATTTCACATTGTTACAGTTTCTGTAACTCAATGTGAATACAAAGCAAGGAATACTATATGCAAAACTAATGCATACATTCGTTAAGTTTATATATCCGTTAAATGAAACGCGATCTGTTACGAATAATTCAGGATCTCTTAATACAATGCAGTGTAATTGAATTTGCACATTGTACATTGCTTTTCACTTTCGACATCAGGATTTGAATGCAGCGAGAAAGGTTTATTGAATCAAGCGCTGGCTGCACTACCGTTGAGTCCTGAGTTGGGAATACAGATTCAAGATGTGAGTGCCAGTTGGTCGGACAAGGGTCCAGTGACGCTACGTAACATCAACCTGACCGTACCGAAAGGAAAACTTTGCGCTATCATTGGATCCGTTGGCTCAGGAAAAGTGGGTATAGTTTCAAATACGTTTTAATATTATTTGCTATGGAGGTTATAAATAATATAATGATTTTAGAGTTCTATTCTTCAACTTCTTCTAAGTGAGCTGAGATCTACTCAAGGTCGCATGCACCTCTCCGGTCCATTATCCTACGCCTGTCAAGAACCATGGCTGTTTGTAGCCACCGTGCGGCAAAATATCCTGTTTGGCTTGCCTTATAATCCTAAGAAATACAAAGAGGTATGACTTTACACTTTATTGTACGCTATATTTTATTAAAAAAGTTAATTCCTGTCGAATTTCCACGCTGTAATATAATTATAATTTTAGGTAGTCAAAGTTTGTGCCCTGCAAAAGGACTTCCAACAATTCCCGCATGGCGATCAAACACTAGTCGGCGAGAGAGGCGCCTCCTTGTCTGGAGGACAACGCGCGAGGATCAACCTCGCCCGAGCGGTCTATAGACAGGTAAGTTACAGATCGAACTAGTTAGCGGTGGGACTATTCAGGGTTAGAGCATTGCGAAAATCAATATCATTGTAATACAGTATTTAATGTCAATGTTGTGGTTACAAGTCGTAAGTTCTCAAATAGTAAATAATAGTGGGTAATAAAACATTCATTTCAATATCTATTCGAAGGAGCACAAAATTTCCTACCATCGATCTCTTTCATATTATCTATTATCTTTTTTTCTTCTATTTTAATAGTAACTAGTTCCTCCTACCCAGATCTTAAGATGCTTTGCTTTTCGCTCCGTGTGATCCTGGCCATCGGCCCCGCAGGAGGAAATCTTATTTTCAAACGGATGATACAAAGTACTAGTTTGAAAGAATATATTGATGTTCCCTTCGATTATTGGCTACATATTGTCTTCAACGTATTACCAGGCGGACATTTACCTGCTGGACGACCCGTTGTCGGCGGTTGACGCGCACGTGGGCAAGCAGTTGTTCAACGAGTGCATCACCGGGTACCTGCGACACACCACACGCGTCCTAGTCACTCACCAGCTGCACTACCTCAAAGCAGCGGACTACATCGTCATCATGAACAATGTATGTTAATATCTCATACGAAAACGGTATGACGCTTTTTATGACGTAACCCTCTCAGCGATCGCGACCCCATTCTGTATGTCTTAATTAAAAAAAAATGTTGGAATGTTAAAAATGTTTACTTTTTACTTTTAATCATCTCCCTAACCTTATGTAACGGACGGATGCACAAGGTTTTTATATTAACTAAATATTGTAACCTTATAGATTTATTTCATTTTAATAACAATACTTAACTCTCTCTTCTGCCTATTTTCGATTGTAAATATCGTAAATAATCGTTTAATTATAAATTAATCTGTAATGTAAAGTTACATAATTAATATTCACAGTACGTCTCGGAATATTTTAAATTATTACATGCTGTCAATGGTTACGTCAACAGTATTACGCCTTTTGTATACCATACAATTTAATTAAGGTCATTGCGCCTATGTACAGCTTTAAACTATTGTAAACAATTTGGTATCCATCCAACAAATAAATAGATGCCATAACTTTACTTATTAAGTGTTTACTAAACCTAAATACAGCTTGTATTAGCGTTAAATACAACGAAATATCTGAATTTTAAAATTAACAGTTTTTTACATCAACAGGGTTCAATAGAAGCTAAAGGCTCGTATGATGAACTGATTACATCAGGGAAGGACTTTGCGGTACTACTCTCTTCACTGCAAGATGAAAATGATACCAATGAGAATGAAAAGCCTCTGCCAATGTCTCGGCGCACTTCTGCTAGGGTAAGTAAAAAAACAACAAATGCTTATATTATTCAAGATACTGATACTGATATATGATACTGAGATACTGATGATATTTCGTCTCAATAAATTTATCATATTCATAAGCTGAGCTATTGCTATGAACACTTTCTAGATTACAAGTGACAAATTTTAGAATTTCTCATTCGGTAAATCGTCACAATCTGGTTTATTTTATTTTTGTAGTTATCGACAACTCGGCGACCGTCTCTAACCGAGTCTACCACTGGATGCGAGATACCGGCGCAAGAAATGGAAGAAGAACAGCGAGAGTCAGGGTCTATGGGCTGGCATGTCTACGGCGCGTACTTGAGGGCTGGAGGAAAGAGTCCAAGATTGATATTCATGGTTTTACTTCTGGTCATAGGACAACTATCTGCTACATTGTGTGATTACTGGGTTACTTTCTGGTAAGCGAAAACCCGAAGAAACATGTGTATAAATTCTTCTGTAATTGTTTTAATTTAAATATATCTTACAGGACAAACGAAGTAACACGACAAAAGGAAAGGGAAACCAACAGTACTATGAATGATTACGATCGCCCACAAGCCACTGCAAACAGTACATTCAGTATTATGGACTACTTTTCCGGCATCGAAATACAACCAGGTATATGTATAATGCAATCTATATCTATACTAAAATTTAAAGAGGAAAGATTTGTAATTTTGTATGTTTTGGAATAACTCAAAAACTACTGAGCCAATTTCAAAAATTCTTACACCAATAAAAAGCTACATTATCATTTTAATTTCACGGAGACGAAGTCGCGAGCAACAGATAAAGTAATTAAACTTTTAATCAACATTTTTATAATCCTATGAAAATGTTATAATTACAACTTTAATTCCATACCGCGAAAGTTCAACTGTAAGGTATCACATTTCTTTCTATACCTTGTATCGTGAAAATCGATCTACGTATTTGTGCGCTCAGATTCTTTTTTCCTTTTATTGGAAGAATAGCTACAAAGTACGCCTCGAACTGTTAAAGATTAAACGCTTTGCTGCTTTTATTTTCCACACAATAACACGACTGACCTTTTGATACGTTCTGCAATTGGATTCTACTAAATTAAAATCATTTTACCAACTTAAAATCGCAGTAAAAATTTCTATAACATTAAATTTTTGGTTTCAGATTTGAACATTCACGCATACATCGGACCTTTGGACACTGCTCAGTATCTATACGTGTACACCGCTCTCATCGTGTGCTGCATCTTCTTTATCACGGCCCGCGCGTTCATGTTCTTCAAGGTCTGCATGACGGCCTCCAGGAATCTCCACAATGATATGTTCCATTCCATGCTTCGAGGAGTCATGCGTTTCTTTGATACTAACTCTTCAGGTACTAAAACTAGCGTAGTTCAATGGTTAGCTATCAATTCCTACAAGTACGCTAAAATTAAATAAAAGTTCAACCACTAATAATAACGTAGTGTCCTCAATACTATTCCATGTTTGAGATCTCTGCTATAGGATTAAGATCGAAGGGATCTGGAGCTCTTTTGATTTCCTTGCAAAAGCAATTCATACTGATTTAGACGACAAACATGTATTTTGTATACCATAAGGTGGCAATCGAGCAAGCGACCACCTAAACCCGCCAAAAAGGCGAAGCGAATGTTGCCTGTAATTGCAGATCCGTTACGTACCCTTATCAACGGAGGAGGAGATGCAAAAAATAAATACCTGAATAGTTAATTTATTATTCATTGTCTTTCAGGTCGTATTTTAAATCGTTTCTCAAAAGACATCGGTGCCCTGGATGAACTATTGCCACGGTTCCTACTGGAATGCATTCAGATATATTTGGTGATGTTCAGCATCTTGGCGTTGAACGCAGCTGCGCTCGTGTGGACATTACTCCCTACAACAATAATCCTACTCTTGTTCTACACCATACTACAGATATACTTGAAATCCGCGCAGTCCATCAAGCGTTTAGAAGGAACAAGTATGTTTATACCAAAATCATTTCTTCATATTGTACTTTTAACCATTAGAAATTAGTGCTTTGTTGTATTATTATTTTCGAATTATGTGTATTAATTTAAACGTGTTTACTTTTAGCTCGCAGCCCTGTCTTCTCTCATATGTCAGCGACACTCAACGGTATTAGCACAATTCGATCGTCTGGAGCGCAACAGAGATTGATTACAGAGTTTGATCGTTTCCAGGTAATAAGCCTTTCAAAATTATCTTTAAAATGTTCTTCTACATTCCAAGTAATAAAAAAAAATATATAAAATGGTTTTCGCATGCATGTTACATGTTTTAAACAGTTGTATTTCCCACCGTACACTTATACGAAGTATTTGTGGTAAAACTTATGGAGCCGAATAGCGTATTACAACTACCACTTGATACATTCCTATGTATTTCATAGTACATATAGCTACATACAGTTTTTTCACACAAAAGCTTGGATGCATGGATAATGATAAAGTTAGTTGATGTTAGATAAAAAGTATATTAAATGTTTGTATATTTCCAGGATATCCACACATCGACGTGGAGCAGCTACCTGGCGAGCGGCGTGACGCTCGGCTTCTGGCTCGACTTCATCTGCGTCCTCTACCTTACCATTGTCATCGTCGCCTTCCTCGTCATTGACAGCAGTTAGTATACAAATATATTATTGGTAAATGTGAAAATTATACAGATGTTCATCATGAATCATTGTAATAGAAAAAAATCCTCGACACTATAGGGAGGTTTCTGGTTAATTCAAGCCTTGTATTTATTTTTAAAAGAAAGGAGGCTGGTAGACTACTTTTACTAGTAGTACTTTACTTAAATAGTGATAATGTAAATAATTTTTAAAATATCTTAGGTATTTTCCAATACCTTTCACAGAATACAGTCTTCCTAATTCCGCATCCGACTTTCTAGCTCATGTAAAGGTTAGTAATGTTATAAAATTCTGTCTATGTTGTTTTAGAAACAATCTTTTCTGGCAACGTCGGCTTAGCGATTTCTCAAACTCTCATCCTAACGGGTATGCTTCAATTCGGCGTGCGCCAAACTGCAGAGGTGATCTCACAGATGACCAGTGTAGAACGCATCTTACAGTACACTCACATCGAACGAGAACCGCAGTGGGACAAAGGAGGTAAATCATTGAAATTTTATAAATAGCTTTCGCCCGCGACTTCGTCTGCGTGAAATTAATAAAAAACAAAAGTGAGTAGCCTATGTGTCCTACCAGACTATCCTCTACATCTATACCAAATTTCATCGAAATCCGTTAAGCCGTTTAAGCTGCAAACTCTAACAAACATCTTTGCATTTATCTATCCATCTTAACTTTCGCATTTATTATATTAGTAACTAGCTGTTGCCCGCGACTCCGTCCGCGTGGAATTAAAAAAACAAAAGTGGGTAGCCTATGTGTTCTTCCAGACTGTCCTCTACATCTATACCAAATTTCATCGAAATCCGTTCAGCCATTTAGGCTACAAACTCTAACAAACATCCATCCATCTATCTATCCATCCATCCATCCATCTAAACTTTCGCATTTATAATATTAGTATGATAATATGATTAAGGTAATTCATAATATGCTACCTAAATCTGTCTCATGTTAATCGTAGCTTTAACTTAACTTACATTTATCTATCTAAAAGTTTCACTGTTTAATATTACCTACTAAACTATACAACTATAAAAAAATAAACTATAATTAAATTCTCCAACTACCGTTATAGTAGTGAAGATTGATGAACATGCAATTAAAGTCACTTGTCAGTTCGGTTACAAAATGAATAGACTGTTAAATTGAGTGTGCGCTTCCTTTGATGAATATTTGTATATTTTTGATTCGCGACTTTGTAAGGTATATGTGCGATCTAAATAAAGATAAATATATTTCCTACAGCAAAAGAAACACCAAAAGGATGGCCGTGGCAAGGACGTATTGAATTCCGCAATTGTTATATGAAGTACACACCTGAAGATTTACCTGTTCTAAAAAATCTGAACTTAGTTATTGAAAAGGGCTGGAAGGTAAGCAAATGTATTTCGCACTTTTAGAAAATTTTACACCCAGATTTAATCATGTTAAAAAAATATTTTTTTAGTCTTTTTAATGTTAGTTACCTTATAGTCTTTATTGCACGCAATAATTCATATAAAAATAATTATTTTTTACGGTTGATCTAGTTCTGGTGTGACTTAAGACAGCAAAGTTATATTTAAATTTATAACAATATTAAAAAGGATTGTTATGGACGTTATTGTAATCTTTTTCTCAACTCAATTCATAGGTGGGTATAGTGGGCCGCACCGGGGCTGGCAAGTCCTCTCTCATATCTTCACTGTTCCGGCTCGCAATTGTCGAAGGAGAAGTCCTTATCGATGACCTGGACACAGCGCATCTTTCGTTGCAGGTAAAAATAAATCAATACCTATTTTATGATAAACATTAAATGAAAGGAAGTTGATTTCGCACATTTTATAAATAATAATAAAATTATTGTTGTATTTAAAACAATTGTGATTTGATAAAATTTTAAAAACAGATACCACAGGATATCGGACGTTAGATTATTGGAGCTAATATTTTGTTAACTTTTCTAGGCATTGAGATCGAAAATATCCATCATTCCACAAGAGCCTGTACTTTTCTCAGCGACAGTCCGCTATAATTTGGACCCCTTTAATAATTATGAAGATGAGCAACTGTGGAGCGCTCTGGAAGCCGTAAGTTAATTTTAGTATTAAGTACACAGAAACAAAAACAAGAAAAATCTAAAATGTATAATTATGGTAGACATGAAATGAACTTTTTTGACAATAAAGTTCTTAAACTAAAAAACTATTTCTATTTGTTTAACTGCCAAACTCAGAGTCTTTTAATAGTGACTTAAAAAAGGGCGATTAATGGGACGCCCTTATTAACTAATTAACTCTACCAAGTGTCTCTAAATGCGATAGTAAGGCTAATGTAATTGTTTTAGGTTGATTTGAAAGCAGCAATTCCAGCGTTAGATTTCAAAGTGTCGGAAGGCGGGTCGAACTTCTCTCTGGGTCAGCGGCAGTTGGTATGCCTCGCACGCGCCATCTTGCGCGGCAATCGTATACTCGTACTGGACGAAGCCACTGCGAATGTCGATCCTAAGTAAGTCATTTGTTTGCATTCGCTGTATTACGGAGGTCCTTAGAGAGCGCCGGATTTAAGCAGCTAAGAATTAAGACTACACACTAATAAAGTCTGTTTCAAAGACACCAATGTTGGTTTCACTGCTTTTGACAAAATCTTTACGATTACCCGATATCACTTCGACGTAAAGGCATAATTATCATGTTTAAAAGTATGACATCATGATGGCATGTACTTATGTCGTATTTCTAAAAAACCTAAATTCACATCCAATTCTCATATTGTTTTTTTTTCAGAACTGATGAATTCATACAGAGAACAATAAGGAAAAAATTCGCCGACTGCACAGTGCTGACCGTGGCTCATCGCTTGAACACCATAATGGATTCCGACAGGGTTATGGTCATGGATGCCGGCAGATTAGTAGAATTTGATCATCCATACCATTTACTGAACAATCCAAACGGTTATTTTACAAAAATGGTGCAAGAAACAAACGAAACGATGTCCGCTCAACTTCATCAAATCGCCAAAAACACTTTCCTCGACAGTGGCGGGGTGATAGAATAAGATAGTTATTTTTATAACGTAAATAAGCATTTAGGTATAAGTTATTCGATGAGGTATAATGCAGTTAAAAGTTAGGTTCCAAAAATATTTACGATTATAAATTATGTAAAAATACTTTTAAAGGATTTGTTGTGTCGAAGTTCTATGGATAAAAACGGGTTGTGTAGCACGATATTTACCTTTATGAAAATCATAATAACCCAGCCCACAAGTTATTCAATGTTTTAGAATAAGTTAAATCTTGGGCAATGTTAAACGGTATTAAAATGCCAATGGAAGCGTGTAAAGCGCCACCAAAAGTTATGAACAAATCCTGGTTTTTAACTTGATCTTGAAATTCCTTAACGTCAAATAATATTGAACTATTACTACGTTGTCTTAATTGCTGAGAAATAATGTTTTCATATTGTAATAGAATTATTCAGTTGTTGTAAATAGAACTTTGTTTTTTTTTTATTTTATCTGGACGTGAATGAATAAATGTATGGAATTAGATATAGCAATAAACTATTAATTAGGTACAGTAATATAAGAAATTATGTTATTTAATTTATTACTATTACCATTAATTACGATTTTAATAAGTACTGAAAATGATAGTTGTGATTGCCATAGAGGTTAACCTCGAACAAAATAAATGTTAAGCCTATTAAATGTTATTGTCTCATTTTTAATTTTAAAAAAAAACCTTTTAAAAAATTATACTCGTCGTAATAGACCTTCATACAAGAATAACAACCAAGACCAGCTTGATTCTTAAGAGAGCCGCGTCAACTGCAACTGTAAACTGTGGTACTTGTATGGCTGCCAATGGACAGCGCGCGGTCGCAAACATAGGCCTATTATGGATTGCGAAAAAATCCAGAATTTGCTAGTAATTTCTTTATGCTATGAAAAGTATATGATTACAACTACTCTGTCTACTAACCATACACAACTTAATCATCAAGATCAAACTAAAGATTTCCTCGCGGGAGTACACTGGATGCGGGCGGCACAGGACCGTGCATTGTGGCAATCAATGGGGGAGGCCTACGTTCAGCAGTGGACGACCTATGGTTGACAATGATAATGATGATGAAAGATTTCCTCTAAACAAGATCTGGTTTTACCATTGATATTAGTCCTGAGATTGGAATTACTATGAATTGGTTGTTATTACTAAGTATAATTAAAGCAACCTAAAGGTTGAATTTAAAACAGGCAATATGTCTATACAAATTTCTATAGGCAGAATTTGCTGATCTATTTTGGCGAAGTCTGGTGGCCACTTGCTAACGAAGTTTAATGCGTAGAAATATAATAGTTTTAAAGGCTAAAATGTGTTTTTTCTTTGAATAATAATCAATCGATTTAGTTTCCTGATATCAGACTCAACACCGAGGCGACACTACACGTGTTGAAGTTGGGTAGCGACCGCGTACTGCCACCAACCCTGCTGATTATAACCGTATTACTAAAACAGTGTTTTTTTATGTAATATTCGTCTGCGTGAAATTTGAAAGTTCAAAACTTGCGTTCGCCCTTTTTTCAACCTATTACCAAAAGTATTAACTTAGTAGTAATCTACGTAATAGCAGAAATCTACTGATGCAAGATTCCAAATTTCTAAGCTGTGTTCGCGATATATTCTAAACTATTAGTCCAATTTAAATACTGCAAAAGACAATTTTATTATACAATAAATTCTCGTGATAACAAACGCATTTATTCGGATAAAGATTAATATTGAAACCAATAAAAGAATGCCGCAAATAGTGTGCGTTTTTTAATTCATTTTGTAAACAAAAAAGTGGTTTTTGTAAGAAAATCGTTAAAGATAGATATAGATATATGCTATCGCGGACTTTTCTGTAGATCTTTTTGAGATCTACAACTCTGTTATATATAATTTTTATATACCTCTAACGGTTTAGGCAGCGTAAGCCGAGAAAAGTTAAAGTTTAGTTAATTTTTAACGCCGGCAATTTTAAACACGCTATTTATTAATAGTTCCTAACATTAGTTATAATAAAATATAGCCTATTAACTACTCCCAGATAAATTGCCTTTCTGGTGGTGAAAGAATTTTTAAAATCGGCCTAATAGTTTTTGAGTTATTTCAATACATACCAAAATACAAGTCTTTCCTCTTTTATCTTACAAGTATTAGTATAGATAATATAGAAACTTTGAAAATCAAGGCTTTTGGGGATCAAAGCTTTAGCAAATTTAAAGGATCTTACATGACTGTTTATTATTATTTGTGTCCATCTATCTTAAAAGGTACATTAAAAATTTATCAAATCTAGCTAAGATGTAAAAACAAGAAATGAAAAGCCACAATTTTTATCTGTACTTTATTTAAAAAAAAACAATGCAATCAAAGATTGCAATTACACCAGGTATGCAGTAACCTACTTTGCAATAAGATTAGGTTTCACACAAGTAGCCTAATAAAACCACAACAAACAATGTTGAGACATTCACTTAGAACCATCTTTACGCTACAAAAGTAACCCATATAAATAAGAAAATTATACATGACAACTACTTATTACAAACTCTTTAGTAATTCATCTTTGTTTATGGCTATCTAATAAATTTGATCATCAAGATTTCCATACAATTTTTCGTAAAAAAAATTAAACTCATATGGCAAATTTCTTAATCTTCCTTTAAATACCGCATAAATTCATGCTGTGAGTATATATCTGATTGTCTCCACAAAGGTGCAAACAACTCCCTGTTCTTAATACAAGCTACTTTAACATACATGATAAAAAAGCATAATACAATAATTTTATTGTTCAGATGGTCTATTTATCTAATGGAAATGTATACCAAAATTTATTCAATATCGGGTAGATCTTCCTCTTCACAAGAGCTCGAGTCATTTTTCTCAATATCTTCGTCTCCGAAGTCACCTATTTTGTTTGAAAACATATCGTTGGGGTCCATATCATCTTCACTTTCTTCTTCATCCTGCCACCGGTTAAAATCAACCTTGAGCCAATGGTGTTTCTTTTTATCACTTGTTAATGAAGGCCAAAATGGTTCATCAGTCTTGTGTTTTACTAAAACAACTTCGATGAGTCTTCCTTTGTTAACCTGCGTACTTTTTTCGGGATCTATTTCAGCATATAAGGGTATATCAACTTCGTTTAATTTTTGTTCAGGGGCGCAGATTCCCTTAAAAGACACTGCATTTTTTTCTATTTTGATGTCTGGTTTATCACATTCAACGTTAAAAGTCAAATACACACGGGCATTACTCTGCGCCCATGATACAGATGGAGGCGTTGCAATTTCCGAAGTCATTTTACTAGTACTATCAGAAAATACTTAAACAGACTTTAAATTAATTGGCGCGGCAGTATTTTAAACACCGGCAAATTAATCAACTAATAACTAACGGTACTTTCTCACGAAATGTGCAGTCACGTTCCAAATTAGCTAATTTACAAAAATATAGATCGTTGTCAAATCGAACAACAGTTTGAGTTGCCAGTGTTGAAATAATGCTGCTTTTCATAGACTCTTAACTTCTATAAGGAAGTGATATTTTCTTATAATTTTGAAATTTAAATTATCCATAAACGTTCGCAAATCTCAGTTATATTACAGTGTTAATTACCATAGCAGAGCAACGAAACAAACACCATTTTCATTATTCATCCAAGGATAGACATTATCCAGGGTTCAATAAAAAACTGTCAACACCTGTCAATTAGATGTCAATCTGTCAATGACAGGATTGGACTTTGGACAGGATGGAATTTTCAAAATAAACAATTTTGGTAACTAATAATAATTGAAATAAAGGCTATTATTTCTGTTTATGGTAGTCAAAAATCAAAAAGAAATATTAATTAACTATACTATTTCAACCTCCGCAGCTTTACTTTTAACACGAACTAGGTTCTAAACAGTTGTTGATGACGTACATTACCTTGTTTTTTTTTTTAAGTCATACTTTATACTTCTTACTAATATTGTTAATGCGAAAGTTTAGATGGATGAATGTTTCTTAGAGTTTGTAGCCTAAACATCTGAACGGATTTGACGAAATTTGACATAGACGTAGTAGGCTATCCTAGTCTGAAAGAACACATATGCTACTCAGTTTTGTTATTTTAATTACACTCGGACGGAGTCGCGGGCAAAAGCTAGTAAGGTATAAAAATATAGATACACAGAAAAAATAACAGACTCTAAAAACAAAAGCAAACATAAACAGACAAAAAGTGATTCTTGGAATCACAAATCACTGAGCAAGCCGTACATCATTGGTTACATGAGTGTTGATATTAGTCCACAATACTTTTCTAATTTATCCCAATTGAAATACTTAAAAGAAATCCCTGTAGGACCACTTCATTGTGACTTAAATCATAATATTACCCACAAATTGCAATAGATTATCTAAATTTCTTTTTGTCATATATAAAAAATTTGATACACTGCAAATAATATCAATAACTTTTCTATTAAATGGTGATAGAAGTATTGATGTGGTTGAAAATCCAAAATGCGATTTTTTACCAGAATGGTATGTGAATAAAGGTAATTCAAGTGGTACTGGTCATTTTATTTTAAAAACTAGCTTAACACATCAAGTAATTTGTTTATACTGTCCCAATTTTGCTTTTGCAGGAATACATAGGTTTAATCAGAATGCCAGATCTTAGGTAAAACCTATGAATTGATGTATAGATGCACTAGTCAGGTGCAAGTTAGTCATCATCTACCTTTTTCCCTATGGAGGTTACTATGTTTGTTTTTTTTGGTTCCTCACTTTATTTTATATCTTACTTGCGACTGTTTTTGATTTATCATTGAGAGAAAACATTTTTTTGCGGGTAGATATACAAAAAAATGTAATTGCCTCTTTCGATAATCTACATTCAATTTGATTATGACAACTTATAAATAAATATCTGTCACTATTACCTATAGAAAAAGAAGAAAATGACAGAAACTTGTCACAGTTTTAGATAAAAGTTAACATCCTCATACCTCTAATAGCTTTAAATAAACAAAATGCCAGTGTAAGAAACCAAAAAAACAGCAATATGAAATTACTGGTAATTTTTAATTAAACATGGACCAATAAAAGTCAAGCTGGAGAAACTAAGAATCATAAACTTTATGTCTAAAGTAGGCAAGAGTGCCACTTCCCTCAGACGAAGTGTGTCATCAACACCAAAGGCAGGAAAATCAGGAATGAATGATAGTTTGAGTTTTTCTGATCCGAAAGTTCAAGGAGTGTTGTTAATTGGACTTCTGGTAGTTCTCTCTATAGCTCTATGGTTTGGCTTCACTCACGGCTGTTTGTCGCGGCGTCGAAGGAGAAGTTATTGTTAAAGTGCAATGAAAACCCTATATGCTATAAATATGGCTAATTATTGGTCCTTTCTTCTAGTCCAGTCCACTCCTCGCTCAAAACTACATTGAATATTTATATACTGATTGTAAAATCATTGTGTCACCAATTTTTTGTCAATAATGAACCAATGAAATGAAAAATAAATAGATTTCAACCATACATCTTTATTTTTAGATAATATAATCCAAATCCAAATGTAATTAAAATCCTTATAAATACAAAAAAAAGAAAGTTGTTATACTCGTTTATAGAAATTACAAGCTTGACAATTCCTATTACATCTTGACATTTAAGTGTTATTGAATCAATTGTTCAAAAAACATTTAGATATATGACAATATACATTTTTGAAGTAAAGAATAATGCGTGTTTAATAAACTAATAAATCATTCTGGTTGAATTTTCCATACATTGAGGTAAACGCAACCCAATTCTGCAACACGGAACTAATGAATGCATCTAAAACAAAAAAAGAGGCATTAATTAAATAAAGTTCCAACAGGAAAACAGATTTATATTACAAACACTAAAATTATACCAAATAAAGTATAGTATCACACAGTTTTATAAGTTTTACAAAATTTTTTCTCCTTACTGAGGGTTTGTACTGGCAACACTTGTAACAAAAATGCCAAAACTTGAGAAAACAATGTTTTTTATTGCACATTACTTTAAGATTAGTAATACAGAATGTTTCATTACCAATAAATTTCCGATTCATCCCAATTGCCACTATCATTTCCCCAATCATCTTTGTCTTCATCACCTTCATTTGCTTGCTTTTCACCACCAACACTATTTCCTTCATCATCATCATCAATATTATCGTCTACATCTACGGGAGATGTAGATTCTTTATCACCTTTAAGGAAAATAACATTTTATATGACACAAAAATTATTTATTCTGTTGTTGAGAAAGTCGAAAATTTGCAACATAAATCATATTCAATTCTTAGTACATACCTTCTGCACAACTTGCGTTGGTTTTGTCTTTATCTAAAACATTTTCAAAATTAGTAGTAGAAATTTATGCTATAAATTTTGTCACATTACACTCACCATTGCTTGCAACTTCGCATGCATGAAATTAAAAAATATAGCCTATGTTACTCACAGATAAATTACCTTTCTAACAGTGAAAGAGTTTTTGAAAACTTCCCAATAGCTTTTAAGTAATCAAATACATACAAAAATACAATACTTTCCTCTTCATAATATTATTATAGACATACCATTATCACTAGATGAGGCTTTCATCATTTTCAGTATGTGTTGCTTTTCTTTTGTTAAATGACGTTTTCCATTCAAATGCATTGTCATTTGCTCGGTACATGTCACTGTTGCCTGAAAGATTTATATTATCATAAAATAAAATGTTTCGGATTCATTTTTTATTTCATTTAATACAATAAAAAGTCAAAGAAAACATACATTTTCAGTTGATAATAAAAAATGCCAAAATAATCTATCTAAGAAACTAAAAGCTGTGCATATTGGCAAGTATTGAAGTAAATTAAAAATGAACTATTTTGAAATATTATCTTATTGCAACATAACCAGGTTGTTTAAAATATAGAAACATAATTACAATATACTAGAAATCCACCTCAGTTCCACCTGGTTGACAAAGAATATATATCTCATATGTTTTCTGTCATATCTGTACCCTTCCCGTCGATATACCATTTTTGAGGCTATGTTATACAGTTATATAGCTTTACAATGTCAAAAGAATTTTTGAAATCGGTTCAGTTTTAGAGCCTTTTCAATGCAAACAATCAAATCTTCTTATAATATTACTAGCAGTTGCTTTAAGATTAAAATAAACATATACCAATGTTACTCAGTATCAATATAGATTTTTAATGGTGAAAGAATTATTGAAATCTGCCCAGTAGTTTTTGAGTTATTTCAATACATACAAAAATACAAATCTTTCCTCATTATAATATTAGTATATATAAGTAAAGATAAGTATAGATTATAAAAAATGCACCTTGCATATTTCGCAGTACAACTCTGGCTGTATCTTGCTGTTGGTGCCTTTTTCTGCATACTTATCAGTTTCGGTTGATTTTAAATGTTTCTTCTCACGCCGAATAAGTTGCTCCCTAGAAATTATTTACAATAATAATGTAAGTAGATAATCATTTTCAAATAATTATAGTAAAGAAAGATTTTGGCAATTTTATTTATTTATAGTTTCTACTTACAAGCGCGAAGCCATATTTTCCTGGAGTAAAATTGGATTCCGAGACATCTTTCGTCCCTCCACAATTCTGTAAAAAGAAATGTTTAAATAAATTCCAATGCAACAATTTCAAGACCCTAACAAAATCCTGTAGGTACAATTTAGTAAGCCATTTTGTACAAACTTAAAAAAGAGGAAAACGAATAAAGAAGTATGTGATTACACTTTTTTAGTCTAGATAGATAGATTAAGAAGATAACTTACGCCCGATGCGGTTTCCCAGCGTAATGGGAGCTGGCATGAGATTTAGATGTGATGTGAACATCACAGATTTCACAATACAATTCACGTGCCTTAAAAGGTACCTGTAAATATGTTTAATAGTTCCTACAGTAATTTCGTATCTAATATATTCGATATCTCATTTCTAGAACGTGACGAAATAAAAAAAAATTAAGCCAGAGATTCAATCCAAAAACCTAAAGGTTAAATACATCAACTATATCCATAGTTTAATCTTTGTGTAAATACAGTCTACGTTAAGAACCACGCGTTTGTAGTAACGCGTGGCCAGACAATTTGTTACAATGCAAGTTTCAGTTTCGTTGACAGCGTTCACATAAGTTTCACTTGATATTTTACTGTCAACAATTACATGTGTAAAGTGGACAGCAAACACAAGTGATGTTTAGGTGACCTTCATGTGACCTTTAAGTGACCTGACTTTTATGTGAATCCAAAAGTGAACAAAACCTCCTAGGGAAACATCACATTGGCAAATCATCTAATTACCTCAGCAGTGACTTTTAATTCAGGATTGGAATGTTGAGTTGACCATTTTTTCTGATTCTTGTAATGGTTTTTAGAAACATAATGGATGCGAGCTGCAAGAAAGTTATGATATAAATGAACTAAAAGTGATTTAGTGAACTTCAAATTTTTTTTTAATGTTTTATAAAGCAGGATAACTTACCCATAGGTGATGCATTAAAACTTAGACCACACAATCCACAATATTCTTCAGTCATCAACTCCAGCATTGATTTCGGCAGTTTTCTTAAATTTTCATTTGGAACCCCACAACCTGTTAAGAATCAAATATCATTACATAAAGGAAAACAAATTAATTATTGTTTTATAAATATTGACACAGGTGGCATTTATGATCAATTCAAGTTTTTACATTAATTTTGATTGAAAAATGTTCTACAAAACTCACTTTAAATGATCTCTATATGAATCTCAGTAAACATGAAAATATTCTAATATTTTCATAGAGTATGTATAGTTGTAATGAAAATAACCATTGGTTTTCATTTTTTATTGCTGTTATGGACGAGGTTAAGGACAAAGTGTGTGCAGAGATTGTCCATATTGGTAAAATTTCACAGGTGTTTACTAGCAAATCCTTAAGCGAGGTGATACATTTTATATGAAGAAGTCCCAGTCTAAGTGAATTACAAGTGTAGATCTTTATTACTATAATTTAATGGGTGGAGGGTGGTTAACAAGAGACTGTGTAATTAGCTGACCTTGACACCTCTTTCTATCGAGCACCCTGGGCAGTCACCCAACTGCACCATACACTAACCACAGTACTGATATGAACTTTGTTACTTTCTCTTATTTATTAAAACTGTGCTTTTGTTATTGCTTAATGAAAGAAATGTGTAAAACATCATTTCAGTTTAGGTGGGTTTGTGGCTTATTATAATAAAAACTATACTTACGTAACAGAAATTTGATAATGCGATCATTATGTCTTCGAGTTCTGACAGGTCCTTGGGGACCATAACCTCTTCCCATCTCATAATTATCTGGTTCAAACCATTGCCTTCGCCTATAGGATCCTGGGCCCATGAAGTCTGGATGTGGATAACTGTTAAAATTCAATGGTTCATATCCCAAATGGTTGGTTGGCCCAAATCCACCTCCACTTGCACTATTCATATGTCCATATCCTCCACTGTATTCACCATATGCATTGCTGTAGCGGTCATTCCTACAACAGTAGTGGGTCAATGAAATAATTTACCATCATCAATGGATCTCCATCACACTACTTGCATATCATCATAGGAAATGACATCATTTAATTTTGGAGAATTGTAATTAATTAAGAAGAAAACGACAAATTTGTTGTTTAATATAAATATTATGACAGCACAGCATGATTCGCTACTGTAAAGTATTGCCAATTATAGTTTACTAATAATGAGAGATCATGCACTAAAACTCCGATGATTTTAAAGCAGCAGTAGGAAGCAATGCTTACCTCGAGTTTGGAACATTTGAGTCGGCTCCGAAATCATCCCAGTCTGTAGCATCATATCCATCATCACAGTAATCGGAGCTATGTTCTCTATCAGTTTTCATGGTTACAATTAAATCTTGTAAAGAGAAAAAGGAAAGTAATTAGGCACAAAATAACAAGTTTTAATCTAAAACACTATCTTACAATTATTATATATGCTGTAGGTAGTAACTTATTGCTTTCAGATAGATTAGTTTGGTGTATCACAAACCGAAATATCTTGTAATTGTTAAAAATCCAAGTAATATTTACCTTACCTTATCTCAGTAGAACAAGTCAAGAAAGAAACAAAACGAGTCCCTATATTGTAGTGATGGAACTTGAGTTGCTTTTCACTCGAGTGACTCGACTAGTTTTATATTACTTGCACTAGAGTTAAATTTGCATATGTCATTAAAAATACATTATGCCTGTTCTATAGTAATTTGAGTTAAATTTAAAGCATATTTATTAATATTGTTATACATTTAGAGTAACGCGAGTCAAAAAAATTACTCGAGTTTTATCATCATTCGAGTGAGAAGAAAGTTACCAGTACCGAATGACTTGAGTCAAAAAAAATAATCGCTCGACCATCACTATTTGCATTGTACGGCTAAGTATAGTGGTACATACTTCTTTTGGCACCCGGTAATTTTATGAAATAAAAAATGATATTTAATGTCAGGGTAATAGTGACATAGCTTAGTTCACTTCGTGTCTTAAAGCATTTTTCGGGGTTCGTTAATATTGGTCCATAAAAAAAAGTGATGAGAGTGTTTAAAAGTAGTGTAAGAAAGCTTTTTTTAAGGAGGGATTTTTGTTGCTGAGAAGTAGGGGGTCTAGTAATTACATTTGAAAATATGAATCAGCTTGTGTCTGTTGTAACAAAAAACGTGTTACCTTTTGTTATTTCAATAAATTCAATTTATGTTCCTAATAAGGATTGGCTGTCTGATAATTTTTAACGCACCGTACGAACAACTGGGCAGACCACACAGTTTGTACTGTGAGTTGATTGTAAACAACAAACAATCATTAAAACTTCTATTATTCTCTGGACAAGCACCGAATAAGACAACTTCTATTACATTAAGGCTACTCCTTTCCTTAGTCCCTTACTGTCTTAAGAGAGAGCATTACTAAAAGTTTTTAAACTGTAGAATCTTCTCCTCGACAAATGAAGTTTTGGGTATGGCCTAGTAATATTGTAAATTGTAAGGTAAAAGTACTTCCTGTACAATTTGCGTATTTGTTTTCAAAAGGAAAAATAAATCCCTTTAATATGGACATACTACCTTGCTGTTAACCCTAAATGCTCAGAGGCGCCCCACAATATCCTTGTGTTACTATATTTCATGATATTTGAACTGTCATCGCTGTCTGTCAAAAAGTTACCAGCCTGATTACGAACACAGGTTAGAATAAGGATTGTAAACATTATTTTATAAGTAATTTATATCTTTCAGTAGATTGTTATCGTAACTATTTGTAAATGTTACAAAAAAAGCATTTAATCAGTTTAGAAAAATGAGCTGCACCAAGGGAAACACTAACCGAACTAGAGCTCAAAAACACCAAAATAAAACTGCATTCAAAAATAACTTGCATGACACTAGTAAGAAAACTAAAATCTTAAATTCATTAGAAGTAACGGGGGTATGTACACGATGCAAGGAAATCATTGAATGGAAAATTAAATTTAAGAAATATAAACCACTGGCTGCACCTAGAAAATGTATTGGGTGTGAACAAAAAACTGTTAAATACGCTTACCATGTGCTTTGCACTAGTTGTGCCGCTGATAAAAAAGTTTGCGCAAAATGTAATAAAGATATCAATGTAAGTAATTTGTTGATTTATAATTTTATTTTTGATTTGTTCAAGTTTTAATTTAATGTATATTTGCAGAGTATTCAAGAAGAAATCGAACAAAACGGGGATACCAATGAAATCAAGCTAAAGTCAATGTTAAAGAGTTTGCCAGAAAGAAAGCGCAGAACATTGTTAAGGTGTTATTTTTAATTAAATTGGGTTTATAGAGTTTATTCCTTTCAATTATTTTACATATTTTTTATCTTATCATTGCTAACTTTATAATAAAATTGTTAATTCAAACTTTTACAGGATTTGGAAAAAACAAGATGAAAGTACCAGTGATGATAAATTGTTACAAATTGAAGATTTATTGTCAAAATTAGATAACAGCACAGATGATGACTTTTGTGGTAGTCTTTCCAGTTCGGAGCAGAGCCTTTCTGAGAATGAGATTGAATAAAAGACCATTTTCCTTATAAACGTTTAATTTGCACATTATTAGAATTAAGACTAAAAAGTTATTCATACATCATTCAAATTAATGGCAACATTAATTCCTTGTGTAAGTAGAAATGCGCATTTCATTACATTTTTGTAGTACAAGGAGCCTTAATGTAAGTGGCCTCTTAAAAATACCATATTTATTCTGGCGCGTAATCCTTGTTTTACAAAATCACACAAGGTTTAAATTAGTTATTAATTTGTTTTATGTACCATATATTTTTAATGTGCTATAATTATTTTACTTATAGTTATTATATCAAGGAAAAGTTTTTACAAGAGTGGGACATTCATTAATATTCCAAACAAATGATATTAAAGAAACTGGTGGTAAATAAAAAAATATTATTAGTTTGTTATAATTGATTTTTAATTGGGCGGAAGTGTCCCGGGGTTCATTTTACATTTCTATGTAAATTTATATAAATCAACAATTTATTTTTGTTTATACCATTACAATATTATAAATAAATTAAATATACATGTCTATAATTATAGTTTAAATTTAGTCCATTACCAAATACATATAAATTAACATTTAAAATACAATAAGTTTATGATTCACTAGAATATTAAATAAAAAATCTTTTAATTTTATTAACCTAATAACTATCTTCATTAATGACATAAAACAGCTCAAGAGGCTAATTATAAATATTTGTGAGACATCCACAAATTTTGTATATTTGCCAACAAATGATGTTGATGATGTTTCAGATTCGTACTCACAACTATATCACAAATATTTGTGATAGACCCTCAGTTTTGTACATATTTTAAGACAAAATTATTAAAACTTGATTAATAAAAAAATGCAACCTAAATATCAAGTCAAAAGTGACTAGATAAAACCAGTTGGATAAAAATTATAAGTGATAATCTGTTGAAACAATGGAAGAATTAATGTTTTAAAGAATACTTATCATTAATTATTAAAATAATACATACATGCAAGAGTTTTTTAAACTATTCCATATAAAGTTATCATATTCAGGGATCATATCATAATCGATAGCAAAAGTTATAAAGGCTGTTAATACTAGGACCAAGCACAAGAAAGCATTTATGGGCGTTACGATTTAAAAAAAAATAACCATTTTTATGTTAATGTGAGATGTAAGGAGAGAGTATATGTTAAATGGTGAGACCTTAAAATTAGTATGCATATAGGATAATAAAAAGAGTGACAAGTAAAATAATGCAAACAAATAGTTTAATAGCGACCCGGGAACAGGACGGGAAATGTGCATTACAATGACGGACTACTAGAAAATAACTTAGCAGCAGTCATACATTCTGTAAAGTAAGAAAAATGTGTTTGGAATGACATAATGTTAGCACCATTTCTAGTTTATATAAATTATCCTATAAAAAGCACTAAATATAACTTAAAACTGAAATTAATTACTTAAATAAAAGCATAAATACTATTTAAAATTTCTGATTTTTTATTTGAAGCTCCATTTTTAATACTAGAGAAACAATGTTACTTTAATGTGAAATTTATTAATTCCCGTATCCTTAATTGAAGTCTTTTAAAATTACAATTTATATAAAAAAACTTTATAAAATGTCCCTCAACAGTGGCGCATTTAAACATTTTTTGCAACTTTCATTATCATACAATGCCAAGTTGCCGCAACTGAAAAATAAAAGCAAATTAATAGTAGCATGAAAACAGTTAACATCTTAAAAATTTTAAATCCATTAAATAACTTTACTTACAATTCCTTGTCGCTCCCTTTCCTTCTGCATGACAAGCTCGGTTTGGGAGTCAGTAAATTTGACAACTGCTGACAGTACCTTTGCTAGTGTTAAGGAATGTGTGCCTGATCCCGTCATATACTCATATAAAATATTTCTTAAATACTCTAATTCAGTATTCTCTTGCAGCAAATGTAAATGTCTCAAACTAACAAGAGCTTCATCCAGCCGCCGGCCTAATTTGTCATTTGAGAGCCTCAATCGGTCATTGTTGTCTTGTACTTCTTGCAAATTAGCATTAGCAGATAAGTTTATGTTCTCTAAATCGTTGATTCGTTGTTCTAAAGCATTTTTTCTTTCTAATAAATTATTATACTTTTTAGTCATATCATTTAAATTTTTATCATCACTTACATTATCCTTAACATGATCCGATTTATTGAAACTTTGAAAATGAATTTGATCTTTAAGTTCCAAATTTTCTTCTGCAAGTAATGTATTTTCTCTTGTTAAATTGTCGATTTTGTCTCTTCCAGATTGAATTTCATTCTTAAGTGCATCTATATCGTACTGAGACATTTCACTTCTTTCAGTAAAATTGTCATTAGATGTAATCACTTCTCTTAGCTTATCATTCAGATCACTGTTTTCTTTTGAAATTTTTGTTAAATAAGTTTGTAGGCCTTCTATATCTGAACGCAAACGTCTATTTTCTTCTTTGAGTACAGCATATTCACTTTGAATTGTGCTACTGGTCAAATTAGTTGTGTCAATAGTTTTGCTAATAGTTTCGTTAACAGCGCCACTTTCAACGTTAGTTTGAGCACTGTTATCTATAAAATCCTCTAATTGACTAGTTTGTGTGTGAACATCATTTAAAGCATCCACTGATTTTTCATGTGACTCCAAATTTTTTATTACAGAATTTAAATGATCCTTTTCCTTTTCGATTTCTATGTGCGAATTTCGTACTTGGAGCATTTCAATTTCTAGTTCTTTCACATTATTAGAAATGGTTGCACACTGATTTTTAAGTACAATATTCTCAGCTTCCAAATTTTTAAAGTCTTTCTGTAACTCGTGAAGAGTTTTATTATTTTCATCGAGAATTTTCTTTAAATCGAAATTTTCATTCTTCAAAACTTCTAGAGATAATATATCATCTTCATGTTGTTTCTTTGTAATATTAACTTTTTCTTGTAGATATGTATTGCTGTCTTTAATAACATTTAACTCTTTAAGATTACTCTTATTTTCGGTATCCAAGGCAGCATTTTGTGCTATGATTTCTTTTAACTTCAAATTTAATTCTCTGTTTTCGCTTATTAAAGTAGAATTATTTGATTTCAGTTTATGTATTTCATCTTGTAATGCTTTGTTATCTGTTTCAATGGCAATTTTGGCGTTTTGGATCTCTCTTATTTTTTCATGTAAAGCATCTTGTTCACCACCCATTTTAATTTTCTCTGCATTTGTTTCATTCAGTTTTTCCATTATAGTTTGATATTTCGATTCTTGTTCAGAATTATTATTTTGTAAATGATTTATTTCTTTTTGTAATTGTTCTATTTCTGTTGTTAATTTTTTGACATTAACTTCGCTCTCACTGACTTTCTGCAGTAAATTTTCAATTTCTAATTTGAGTTTATCTTGTGTAGCTTCCAATTGTTTATTTGTTTCAAGTAAATTGTTATTCCTCTTTTCCAAATCTGTTTTATCATTTTTATATTGTTCAATTAATTCCTTTAATCTTCCGTCTTCAAATTGCGCAGTGGACATTTGTTCATCGGAAAGTTTTAGCTTGGACATCAATTCTTCCTTTTCTTTCTTATTTAAAACTATCTGTTCTTCTAGTATTTGAACTTTTTCCGCCAATATTATTTTTTCTTCCTTAAGTCTTTGAATGCTTTCCTTAATATCTGTTTTTAATTCAATCTCTTTCTGTAATGTCGCGTATAGGTTGTCTTTTTCCTTTTTTAAAACTATTATTTCTTCTTTTGAACTCGTATTTTCCTCGACATTGTTAGATATCGTTTCTTTTAAATCATCATAATCTGTTTTTGCTTTATGTAGTTTTATTTCTAATTTTTCAGTTTGCTTAATTTTTAAATCCAACTCAGTTTTGTTACTTTCACATAAATTTGTTACAATTTCCAATTCTTTATGTAAAGCGGAAATGTTTGATTTAAGAGAAATGGTCCTTTCATCAGCTTCTTTCATTAAATTACTCAAAAGTAAATATAATTTGTCCTTCACAGATTGTTTTATATCGCGAATTAATTCTTCTGAAGTTAATTTCATTTCCTCTTTAAAAATACAAATTTCTTGTTTTAAATTTGTGATTTTATTAAATAATATTGTTGATAAAGATTTCATTTGCGTATTTTGTTCTATCAGAACTTTGTTTTTCGATTTCATTTCTAACAATTCATCATGTAATCTAATATTGTCACTTTGCACAGATTCATGATTACATAAAAGTTTTTCGATTTCTGTCTGTAGTTTGACTAATTCTTCTCTTTCTTCTTGGATTTCTGATTCTAACTGATTATACTTTGACTTCCATTTATCCACTTCCTCAAGTAATTTTGTATTTTCTAAGGAAGAATCCAATTGAGAATCTTTATTGTTTGCGAGTGCCTTGAGCTCAACTTCCAATTTATTAATTTGTTGGCTCTTTTTTGAACATTCCTCTGATATTTGTGTGTTTCTATTCTCCAAATATACATTACGATCTATCATTGCTAACTTCTCAGCTGTTTCTTGTTTCAATTGTAATTCCAAGCATTTATATTCTTCATCTAATTTCCCTTTAGAATGTTCAATACTCTGACACTTTTTATTAACTTCATCAAGTTGTTGTTCCAGTTCTTTTATTTTCAATCGAGCTGTATTAAGTTCACTTATATTGTTATTTAATTTAGAACGCTCTTCCTCTAACAAAGATAGATTCTTTTTGTAGTCGCTGAGTACAATGTTTAGTGATTGGACTTCATTTTGAGACAAAGACAAACTATCTTTTAAAGATTTTATTTCTGCTTCTTTTGTCTCGAGCTCTTTATGAATACGCAATTTATTTTCTGCTAATGAAATTGCATACTCTTCTTCTCTTTTCTTTAAACCATCAATTTTACCGTTTAATTGCGATATTTCTTCGTGAGCTTGTTCAAGGTCTAATTTAAGTACTGAAATTTCTTTATTTCTTGAAAATTCAGAAGCTGTATTAGCATTTTGGATCTCTTCAATATTGTTTTTCAACTCCTCTATTTTATTTCTTGCTTCCATTAATTCTAAGTTAGCGGATTTCAAAACTTCGTTTTCCTTATTTTTATTTTCTAAATCAGTTGACAGAATTTGCAGTTCTGAAGTAATCTGCGAATTCTTTTCTTTACTAATTTTGAGAGACTCTTTATATTTGTTTAATAATTGTTCCATTTTTGCAACTTTGTTGTTTAAAGTTGTTATTTCAGACTGCAAAGATTCAGGATTTATTGCTTCCTGTTCTTGATTTACACCTAAATCAATTAACTGAGAGCTACTTTCATTGTCATTTGGATCTTCCTTAGTAGTATTTAAATTATCATTTTCATTGTTTCCTTGCAAAATCTTTAGTTTCATATTTAATGAATCGATTTTCATATTTTTTTCTTCCATGTCTTCGCGAAGAGCTTTTTCAAGATGTGCCTATAACAAAATATTATATTTAAATGTCCTTGTAACTTAGAATATTTAGGTTAGCATGATATGGGTATGTTATAAGGAGGGATCCATCACATGTTACAAGGAGAACGTTAGTTATGAGTGTGGAAGGGTACATCGGTAGAGGTAAACTTAGAAAGAGATGGATGGATTGCGTAAAAGGTGACATGATCAAAAAGGGAGTGATGACTGAGATGACATATGGTAAAGTTATGTAGAGGCCAAAAACCTGTTGCGCCTACCCTATGGAAGTAGGATAAGGAGAAAGATAATTATGTCCTTATAACTTAAAACCATTTGCACAAATATATTATGATATTTAATAGAACTAGAACACAATTAAGCAGGTAAGTAAAAAAACAAATAATTTTTTTACCTTTGCACTCTGCTCTAAGTTACACTGCTCTCTTAACTCTGAAATTCTTCTTAGGGCCTTGTCTTGAGTTTCGACTAGCACATTCTGTAAATTAAATTTTAAATTAATATTCTTTATACCTGCTTTAAATTTTCTAACTCTAATTGATATATTCATTGTAATTTCTTACCCTTGCTTTAGCATTTTCTCTTTCTAGAAGTTTGTAATGTCTTGCTAGATCTGCATACTGAGTCTTATATTTGGTGAATCTGTCTCGTGTTCTTCTGTATGCAGAGTACAATTGTTCCTTTGTGACTCTGTCCAGGTTCACCATACCTCCGCTAAAACCTTTCTCTTCCGCTTCACTAGCAGACACATCCATATCAGACTGAAAATAATATGTAGTTAATTTTTTACAATTTCCAGCTATTATAACCTTATCTAAATCTCACTATATTAATATTATAAATGAATATTTGTTAGAGCCTGTAGCCTAGACGCCTGATCGGATCTTGATAAAAGTTGGCATAGAACTAGAGCATAGTTGGGAAGAACACATAGACTACTTACTTTTGTTTTTTTTTTTCAAATTCCACACGGCCAGAGTCGTGGGTGAAAGCTAGTAGAACTCAAAAGCTATTAATTCAATAAATGAAGAATATAAAAATATACACATACCTGAATGTGATACATAGATGGACTCTCATATGTTGGTAGTCTGAAGGATATGTCACTTGCAAAAGAACTGTTAGACAATCGCCTCTGCCGTGAGTTTTCCTTTAATAAATAATAATTGTTTAAGTTCAATCCTTGTATAATAACACCACTCTGACATATTTATTTGAGATACACCATGCTTATAAAAAGCTGATATTATAAATGTGAATAAATTGGTGGATAACCGTTTATTACAATTTGTGGCCTAAATAACCAATCTAATCTTGATGTAATTTGACATAGATGTAGAGCATAGTCTAGAAGAACACAAAGGCTACTTACTTTTTTTTTTATAATTCCACAGTGTCAGAATTATGTGTGAAAGCTATATGTACATAAATCTTGACATTACATCAATAAAGTCACATTTAATACATAATTTTATCATAAATAATGAATAATAAACAAAATAATAGTAATTTTAACAAAAAATGTATCAAAAAACATTTATACATAACTTACTTCATGATGGAATGACATATCTGGTGTCTCTAAGCCCGATTGTGAAGATCTCTGCTCAGCAAGTGATATTTCATGGAATGTTTGTTGTTGTGCAGCAGATGTAGAACTTTTATGGCTTACATCTGAAATAAGTTTTATATTTTCTTTAAACCAGAATGTGTCACATTGTCTTAGCTTTTAAGTATATATTTTGTAACTTTTGTGCAAAAATAATAAATTACTTGAAACACAGTCATAAATTTATTAATTACAGCTACTTAAAGAAAAATTCTTGGTCTAAAGTAATAAACTACTTATAGAATGAATTTAATAAGAAACTAAGAGTACGTAAGTGCATATGTATCAAAGAAATTTGACTTTAACAATGTTACATGTCATACCATTATCTCCAATCGAAAATAAGTCATTATTTGTAATATCCGAAATGCTGCTAGATGCTGAAGTTACGGCAGCCTAGAAACAAAACCAACTTATTAATATATTGCATGTTAATCCTCATACATAACTTTAAACCTAATAAATAAGACAATTATAGTAATGTAACACGTCGTCACTAACATGCAATATTTAATCTATTTATGTTTTTAATTAGCTAAAGTTTTTGGAAACTTTATCACTGTATAAGGTTACTAGTTAAACAATAGAAAGGTGTTATTTTATGTTGCGTAGAAATTAATGCACTTTAGTTTCCTACCTGAGCAGCTTGAGCAAATTGTTGAATTCTTTGAGGTGAAGATTTCACCTCTTCGGCTAACTTATCCTTTAACCTTTTAAACATTTTGTAGACTTCTTATATGGAAACCATATTAATAAATAAAAGATTTTTATTGATTCTCATTACATTCTTATTTGTATTAAAAATTACAATAATTACAACTCAGCTGTCAACATTTGTCCAAAAAGATAAGAGTACTCCACAGCCTTGAAAACTTAAAATCAGTACACTGTAATGTCAGATTAAAAAGCACGAATGATATAACATTCAAAAACTTATTTGGTTTTTTATATAGAATTCCTGGCTAATTATCTTTGTGATAAGAACAAGTATCAGAATACGAATTAATAAATATTTAACATTAATAAAATGGATACTTTCGAAATAAAAAGTGGCAGAATGTTTTTAACCCCTTGCTACGACACTATAAGAACAAAAACCAAACTGTCAATTTGCCATAACTTGTGGTTTTGTTTCGTTTCTGTCAAAAATGGTCTTGAAATATATTTCATTTCAAAAATAAATAATATACTTTCTATAAGTTTAAGGGTTAAATCAATTAAGGTTTAGATTCATTTAAAGCTGCCATTTTATTTTAGCTTACAGCACATTACACATTTAATAATGTGTTGAATCCGAATTTCATGAGACTTAGCCAAGCTTAAAAGAGTGCAGACTGCAGTTGTTGCATATTTTCTTTAAATACAAGATTTATTAACCTATGTGAGTATTGTTTCCTTAATATGCCTGTTTCTACGAGGACATTAGTGAAAATCGCTGGTTGGGGTGGCCTAGTACTTAGTGTAACGGGGTTTTATCTCGATGGTAAACTTGTAGATAGGTTTAGAAATTATGACTATTATAAGGAGGCTATGAAGGAAATAAGAAATCACCGCGGCGCTGTACATTACCTCGGAGAGCCGATTAAAGATGGAATATCTAGAGTATCTCACATAAAATTTACTAATAATGAACCAATATCTGGTGAATATTGTATACCAATTCGTGGACCTAAAGGAAAAGGTGACTACTATTTTTGGATTCAGAAAGAAGAAGAAAAATGGATCCTAACAAAAGCAGAATTAGAATTAAAATCGAAGCCTGATGAACGGCTAGTAATATTAAAAGAATCATAAGTAAAAATAAAATATGACATCATTTAGCTTATAGATTTTAGATCATATAAAATAAATAGTATAAAAACTTTGTGTTTTCTTTAGTATAGTATGACTACCACTTCCCCTAGATTAAAACTCATAATGGAAAAGAAAAGTGTAAAATTGTACAATTCTCATTGTTTAAGTACACTAAAATACAATATTTTTTTTATGTATTTTTTTGTGCAATCACTATTTTTCCTTTTCAAGTTTGTGATATCAAAATAATTTCAGTGTGCGCTATGAACACACAAAACATGAATCCCAGATTTATTGGAACACCAAAAGAAAAGTATTCATTTTTCAACACATTACTATGCTTAGTTAAATCTTTGCAAGGACAAAACATAACTGTAGACCTTCGTAATGACTCTTATGTATGTGGACTACTGCTTACAGTGGATGGGTGAGTAATATAAAATTTTTCGAAGTAGTATTTTATTCACTTAGACAAAGATTTATGAGTGTTTTTTACTTAAGTGTGTCTGAAAAAATATGATTGATCCATTTTTGTCCTTTTGTACTCTCTCTTCTATTCCTATGTCCCCAAAGTGGTGCAGAGGGCGTCCACAGTATGCCGCCAGCTCGCTCTGTCCTGGGCTCTGCGTGGTGTTGTTGTTCTTTTGTATGTAAAACAATAATTGTGTAATATTCTTTATGTATTTCATCTAATTAAAATTTTGCAGATATATGAATTTGTCATTCACAACTGCTGTATATTGTGATCCACAAGGAAGCGAATTTTTCTTTGAGAATATTTTTGTTCACTCTCGGAATATTAGATATGTTCATATACCAGAAAACGTAAGTAATTGTCGGCTATACGTCTCCCCTTACAAGTCTACATAAGTTATTACTTTCTAGAGATAATTAGTTATAACTGAACAGTTGAACTGACCGTTAAAATTGATGTATATATCCAAAATTTTAACTACCACTCAAACAGTGCCATTCTCAGTTTTGTCAAAATACACAATATAACCAGTCTGATCATCCAGTTTAAACTGTCTAGAATGTATTTACATATTTTAAGCTCTTCTCATTTCCATTTTTTTTAATATTTAAAATAATGTTTTATTGTGTTTTAACTTTTCCAGGTATCAATAATAAATAATATTAAGAATGAAGTATCAAAAGAAATTAGGAACAAACCCAAGGGGCCACCAACAGATAAGTCGAGAAAAGCTAAGAAGGCTTACAACCAGCACATGCAGACGGTGGCAACATTTTATAAACGGTGAATAAAACAATCAAATTGACAACTTACGATTTGTATTACTTTACTCACTAACTTAAAATTTTTACAAACATGAAAATATTAACAAATTTCCTTAAAATTATATATATGGTTTTATTTTTCTGGTGGATTTTCTGTATCAGAATATAAATTATCTGTGGGAATCGCCAAATTTTCTTCACTGACATTTTTTGATTCACTATTGATTGTGTTAGAGATGTATTGTTCAGAGACATCCATGTTATTATGAGTATTTTGTACTTGGATTTCACTTTTATTAAAAGGTATATAAAATTTAGGTTTATTATCATTGAAATTGTTCAATTGCACAGTTTGTAAGCTGTCAATATTTTTATGCGGTTGAGTGTAAATGTCTCTGTTGTATTGAGGACTGGTGTTCTTGATCACCAAGTTCTTGAGGCCGTAGTTTTTTTGTTTGCTTTGGTCCATGTTGCATGATATTTCCAACTGGCCGTTTATAAATTTGTCTTGCATTCGAGAACGTTGCGTTAATTTTGTATTAACGTTAGAGTTTTGTGCTTGTTGTACAATGACAACTTGTTTCATTGCTTTGGCCTCTCGTAGCGTGTTATTCGGTCGGAGGAAGATATCGTTGGCCTGTTTGAATTGCTGCGAGGGCGCAGTCGACTGCGTCTCCGGAGCCTGGCTGCAGAGGTAGTTAGATTGATTTATGCTTGTAATTATTGATGTCGGACTCGGTGATGATTGCATCTCATTAGGCCGCACCACAACTTGAGGATTTAACAAATCTGAAACAAAATTAACGTTCATGTTATGTAAATATTAGGTGTTCCCTTACAGCATCCTGTGCGTGGAATTATAAAAAAAAAATATTTTATTGTTTATATTCATAGAACTTTCAAATGGCAGAATTCAAATGCTTAAATGACTAGTCTGGCCTTTGGCATTGGCTAACAATTACCGTTGCCATGGCAACCTTGCTTCCTTGATGTCAGCTTGTATGGAGTATAGATATAATAGTATAGTATAGATAAAGTACTGACTTTTGGGTTTGTACTTGGCGAGCAGCGTGTAGACCTGCTTGATGCGCTCGATGTTGAGCTGCGAGGCCTGCGCGTGGTCCAGCATGGGCATGGGGTAGTCGCGGCCCACCACGCAGCGCGCCGAGCGCTGCACCGCCTCGGGCGCGCACCACGGCTCGTGGATGTACCGCGTCGGCATGTTCTTCAGCGCCGGGATGTACTTCCTGCAACGGTTACATGCACCATAACTATCTATTTTTTTTACATCTATGCGTAATTTCAGCAAAATCCGTTGTGCCCTTCTGGAGAAACGTTATAACAAACATTCACACATCTAATTTTTGCATTTATAGTAAAAAGTAAGTTTTCTTACATAGCTAATAAGTCATAATAAATATGATAAAATGAAATAATCACCTAACGTAGTCTCCATTGGGGTCCGTCTTTCGTCCGAATCTGACTGGACAATAGCAATGGAAGAATTGTTGGAAAAATGATGAGCACGACAGCCACATCCACATGCCCGCGTTCACCGACCAGTCCGCGTCCAGCATCAGCTCGTCAAACACCTGACGGAAACAAACAAATATTTCTAATTTGAAAATTAACATTTTAAGAAAGGTACAATGAACATCATCTCTACCACCTGTTATGATGTCAAATTTAAATTATTTACGTTTTAATATGCCCTTTCTACCTCTTTACCTTCATTTTGTCTAGAGGAACGAGTCCACTATAACCTATTGATATGTAGATATTAAAGAGGTTGTTAATTGGCCGGAAATTGGATTGTTGTTCGGTAAAATTGCATTCAAGTAACAAAACAAAACAGCGTTAAAAATAGAAACATGTCAAATGATAAACAAATCGAAATAAAAAGCAATGCCAAAAAATACTTTACAAATGTGTAGGGTGGTGGTTGTGTATGGAAGCGATGCTTGCCTTCATGCCCTCCTCCCAGGAGATCCAGAGGTCCCCGCGCGTGAGGAAGCAGGCGACGGCGTGGCGCGCCAGGTGGTGGATCCAGCCCTCCTCGCGCAGCTGGATCATTATGGAGTCTATCCAGGGGAAGCCGGTCTGACCCTGCACAACATACACTATTCTCACTTCTCACTGACATTATACTTACACTAGCTCTTCCCGTGCGCTTTCATCCGCATGGGATTACAAAAACTTTATTTTGTTATTTAAGTTTTGAAATTCACAACTGCAAATGTCAAATGACAAACAAAGGTGACTTTGGACTTTGGATAGCAATTACCGTTACCATGGCAACATTGCTTCCTTGATGTCAGCTAGTAGTTAAGTCCCTTTACCGCATAACGGTTTTTTATTTATTCCCTATGTTAAATAGCTTCAACGTATAGCCTAAAGCGTGTCATAAATTTAGGGCTTTTTATTAAAGAAAGAATTATTCAAAAATTTGCTTTGATTTCCGACATCCTAAATAAGTAGTGTGTATAGATCAGAGGTGATGGGAGGTAGATGTGGAGTGCTCACACTGGCCCACTTGGCGAGGGCGTCCTGGTTCCTCTCCCAGGGAATCTGCACGCAGATGGGGTTGCCCTCCATGCGGTCGAAGTTGGGGTTGCGCGTGGCGGCGCAGTAGAAGAACTCGCGCCACAGGATCTGTCCGTGCAGCGACAGCGGCGGCCGCTCGCGCTTCACGCGCATGTACAGCTCCGTCAGCTGGTAGTAGAACAGCCGCGTCGACAGGCAGCCGAACCTGCACAATATTACATCTATACTAATCTTATAAAGAGGAAAGATTAAAAATTTGTTTTATACAATAAGGTGGTAAACGAGCAAGCGCCCACTTAAATCCGCCGTAATGACGAAGCGACCGCTGACCATAGACATCCGCTTGCCTACCCTAAATCGACGGAAGAGACACGAACATATAACACGTAAATATTTCACTCTTATATTTCCCCTTCCTATGCGTCTCTTCCCCCGACCTCAATTCCTCAATTAGGAACTATTCTAAGATTTTTTTTGTTACTATAAACGCGTGAATAAAATGTATGATGGCGATTAGTAAAACCACAATTATGTAACTTATGTGATTACGTAATAACTTCATTATGTTAATTTTATGTAATTCAAACACTTGTTTTTATTTCACATTTCCTGTTGACGGGCAAAATTAGTTGCAGTAATTCAATATCGAAAAATGTTGAATATAACATGTTATCATATTTCTAAACCTTGTACACTAAACTATATAATCAACTAATATTTATCACATACTAGTTTTTGTCCGCGACTCCAGTCGCGCAGGTTAAAATATTCCAGACTGTATACTCAAGATCTATGCGTTTTAACAAAATCCCTTGAGGTACCTTATAACAAACTTCCATCCATCTAAACTTTCACATTTATAATATTAAGAAAGATTTTTGCAATATAAAAGTAGGTAATTTTAGTGTATTCCTTTTTTAAAAAATAAACTGTTATAATGTTACCTTAAGTATGGTGACAAGCCAGTGGGACTCGCCAGTAGGGATTGCGGCGTCATTTTCGGTCTTCCGAAGGATGCAACCCACGCTTTCCGCTCCAAATGTCTTTCTAGTCGAGCTAAAGCTTCACTTTCCCCGCCGATCCACACCGGCGGTTTTAAGTTGTCTGTTTCAAATCCTAATAAAGAGGAAACCAGACATTTTTATACACACAGGCCTTAAACACATTTAATGAAATACAAATTTAATGACAGTGACTGTTGAAGATCAGATCATAATAAAAAGAAGATGTGATATTCACAAGTTTTATTAAATACTAGCTTTCGCCCACGACTCCGTCCGCGTGGAATTAAACAAAAATGAGTAGCCTATGTATTCTTTCAGATTCCTATACGTCAACGCCAAATTTCATCGACATCCGTTTAGTCGTTTAAGCTACAAACTCTAACAAACAAACATTTATCTAAACTTTCGCATTTATAATTCTATTATAGTAAGAAGTGATATAATAAGTAAGATAATTGTTGCTCGCGACTTTGCAATAATATAGCCTCTGAAAATGTGGCTTTTTAATTATGAAAGAATTTTTGAAATCGGACCAGTAGTTTTTAAGCTATTTCAATACATACAAAATTAAAAAATTCAAATCTTTTCTCCTTATAATATTTACATTATTTTAAATACAAACCTAATTCTTCGAGTGTCGGGACTCCGAAGCGTTCATCGTGGTCTTCAGTGATAGGCGTAGTTGCGCCGCTGAGCGTCTGCGCCGAGATCGTGGCCTCAGCGGCCGGCGGCGGCGGCATGCTCGCGATCAGGGCTTGGAACTGGTGGTACGTGAGCGGCGCTTTGCCACCATTACGCTCTATTATTCTGCAAAAGTAACAATAAACAATTATAGTAGTGGATAGTTCCTCAGATATGCAAATAGCGTCAACATAGCTTTGGCTGATCCATGTTTATCATTCAGGTAGCTTTACCTTTATGGGATTAAGATTCTATACACCTTCCCCACCCTGCTACTATATCCAGTCATTGTCAAAAACAAGAATTTCGCCTTTCTTTTTTGACAAACGCCTTTCAAACATGACGAAACCTCAGTTAAATTATCTTAATTAAAAATCGCAAAGGTAAAAAATCGTACTAATCTATATTAAAACAAAGAGACAGAACGTGTAGATACTATGTTAAGAAAATTCATGCGATGATGGTTAACTAAGGAAAAAAGATATATCAGGGTAATAAACAATAGGAAACTGAAATTCCCATAAAACCCAAAACCACAAAAACATCGTACAATTTGAAGACAAAAACAAATTAAACGCAACCCCTAGGAAAGGCAGGTTATAATCAAAGCAAGGTTGATTTTGCCCATACCTTGGTTAATTTTCTCCGCATGGCAATAAAAGCACCAATACAATTAAATCCTTTGTACAATGTTTAGTAAAATTGATGAAGGAAAACACTCACCTAAATTTCCAGCGACTGAATCTATAAAATTAATTCCAGCAACAAAAATTTCCGAATTTACGTAATCAATCTATTCGCCCATTTAAAAGAAAAAAATAACCATCGCCAACTTTCGAATATCTCTGAATTTGCAGTATGTATTCTGTTTTATATAGTTAATGTTGGTTGAGCTTATAACAATTATAATAGCCATTTACGCCTTGTGCAATAAATCTTGAATTCATTATTTTTATTTATTGTACACAGCTTTGGCGATCCTTAAATGAATAATAAAAAACCAACAATTATTTTTGACATACCAATAGATAAAAAACATTAAATTATAATGGTAATAAAATAAGCATTTAATGCCACAGTATCACAAAATTCCGCGCCGTGAAAGAGACATTTAAATAATAAGTTTTATTAAATACTATAAAACTAGAACATGAAAGTTTTCTACGTATAGTTGTTTTATGAGATGTTGATTCATGAGTAACGAACATCAAATAGTAAAAAATAAAACTTTTTCTATCTAATATTCGTTATCCTATTAACAACATATTTTATATGGATGTTTCGCTCCTGGGTTAGACTACGACGAAAAATTAACAGGAGCTTTGAAGCTAAAAAAATACTAGCAAAGTTAAAAGATGTTCAGGCTAAGTGTAATAAAATATGGTGTAAGAACAACGCTCAATAATTTCAGTCGGGAAATAAAATTTCGCTCGACAATATATTTTTAATAAAAAAATCTTACGCTCACGTGGTTTTCCATGCGATGCCGCCTAGCCGTTAATTGGCACAGAGATTAGGCAATTTAAATCTTTAGCTGATTTCTGCGGATTACTAATCAGTATAACTTGGATGTTACTTTACTTATTCGTGGTCTTAGTCACTCGTATCATACGACTAGCATTGTCAACCTATATGAATAAAGCCTTCGTCCGCGACTCCGTCCGCGTGGAATTAAACAAAAAAAAAGTAGCCTATGTATTCTTCCTGACTATCCTCTAACTCTATGACAATTTTTATCGCGATACGTTCTGCCGTTTGACGATTTTTTTTTATTTATCATCTCTTTTGTTCATTCATTAAAGAAAATGGTAAACGCCTGTCATAAGCTAAACAAACACGTTGTTTTCATTAGCACAAGTCAACAGGTGTTTAAACGAAGGAAAGTTTAAATGACACAACGTTGAGCAATGAGTTTCCCAAAGTTAAAAGTGCGCAATAGCCTTCAAGCTCGCAACGATATTTATATCTCGTTCTCGGAAATTACAATTGTTTCAATAAGCTCTTTTGCTTAGAACATTTCGAAATTGGAGTACATTGATATTATTTTAATGTAAGATATGATTATTTTATTGCTTATTATTAAAAATAAAAATTCTAAAATTTGGTTGGACCAGATATAAATACAACAATTGCGGATTCCAAGTCGCAGTCCACTTGTACAGCTAGTCTAGTTTCAAATCTGTTATTAGTTATACTTGTGCTAGGATCGTGAAAAATGACGATTTTTTTGTATAATTACGTTCCGTTTAGGTTTAACAATTTTAATGTAATGATGTAAAGTGAGCTAAAATTGTGATTAATCGAAACTCAGAATAATTTTAGCATTGACATCTCATCAGTTAGGTCTCACAGGGTTGTTTCACGATTGTCACAATATATGAAATGATAAATCAACTATGTTTATATAGCAAATAGCAATGATTTTGATATAAATACCTATTAAATCTAACCCAATTAATAAAAATTGTTAACAATAATTGATTTAAAACCACTTCAAAACAATGAGTCTTGATGTTGCACACTTGTTACTATAAAAACTTAAGGTTGAGTAAAATAATTCATAAAACGCAACACTTACTTGTCCAATTTATATAGAGTGTGAGATACTCTCGAAATCACGTTGATTCCGACTTCTCGGCATTTCGTCATAATATTGTGGTCCCGTACTCTGCCGTAGGGTTCAGGGTCCTCTTCGAACGTGAGCTCCGTCGTGCCCCACTCACGAAACAACTTTGGTAAAGCATCAGCTGGTTGGCCGCGAACAACGAATAAGCGGGAATTCAACTTCCGCAAACTGCTGTCCAAGTCCTCCAAACATTGTAGAAGAAACCTGCCAAATTAAACTAATAGTACACAGAAGTAATTAAAGTTATCAGTGTCCATGTCTTAATTTTTCCACCAACAAAACATCTTAATTTACTAGAAGATATGGGTGTTAACTGGACGTCGCATAATTATTTCGCGTGTCTATCTCGTACCATGTCGAAGTATCTAATAAAAACCTTTTCCTTTCACGCAATCCATCTTTTAGTTTTGAGCCTACCCTATTGGTATACCCCACCACATTTTTATTTAAAATCATATTATTTTCTACCCTCTTCATAACGTAAAAATGTAGTAGACCAGTTACTAACCTCCATTTATTGATGCCAACATTAGAGGAGCTGGCGAACCATGGGTCTATGATGAAGACGCATCGGAATGTGATAGCATCGACGAGGCCCTCCCGCAGTGCGGGGTTGTCGTGGAGGCGCAGGCCCTTGCGGAACCAGTGCACGATGTGCTTGCCGGCGGGGCGCGGCGGCGGCGTGCGGACGGCGGACGCGGCCAGGCCGTGCGCGCGCGCGCTTGGTGCCGGTAGCGTCTGAGCCGCTGCTGACATCGCTAATGTACCCACAACCCATCCATCTTTACATAAGTAAAACTTTTTATTTGCACACAAATGAAGTTCTACTCATTCCATACTTTATCCACGAATTTGTACTACTGTCAGTCATTTCAGATTCTCACTTGAAGTAATGATTTGAATTTGTTTTTACTTGTATTATATTTTTATTACGGTTTTCTTCAACTATGATCTGCAAGTTATAAAAAGTTGCTATGTTATTATATGCAGTACAATAGTACATGCAATAGCCTAGTAATTAAAAAGATTAGTACAAAGTTAGGCAAATCGATTAATTAACATTTATTATTTTATTATTATTATTTAGTAGCAGATTACTATTATTTAGCAGAATAAGCATTATTATATTGAATTATTGAGATGTATATGATTAGTTATTTGTAAAAATAAAAGTTGAAGAGGCCATAAAAAGTTTAACACCCAGTGCATATTATGAAAATTATACTTATATTTGGAGTGCAATAAAGCTTTAAGTTTGGCTACTATATAGTAATCGTAGACAAATATATGTTTGTCTCCAAATGAGATAGTACAATATCAGATCATGAAATGTAGAGTGGTTACAAATAATGATTTAAAATCTGTATTTCGGCTACTATAGTTGGACTTAGGACTGTCTCAGACTACAGATATGTAGCGACCAAAACCTCAAACCATAATCATATAAAACTAAATTGGTGCAATGCTCATGTTTTCATACATTTTCATACAAGTGAAAGAGAATATTGTGACGCAACCTGCACATATTGGAGAAGATCAAAGATATGTAAGATGTCCACCAATATGCACTGGACAGGTATGATTAGCTATGGCCAAGTCTTCAAATTTAGGGTATGCTCCTAGCCCCCGATGTGAGAATTTATAGTGAGCTAATAATGATGATTTAACAATGTTTCATTTATGATTGTTATTTTACATTTCCCTCTCGGTAGATGTAGGACTGCATATTACAGAAGGTGATGGGCTGACATATCTTGATGATAATTATGATGTTAAATACATTATTATACCGCATGTTCTATTAATTAGAAAATGTAGTAATGTATAAAAATGCATCTCAACAACAAATAAAACATTGAAATAATAAAGAAAAAAGTTGAACAATCAACAAAATGTTTTACTGTGAGAAATTCAAGGGCAAACTGTATGTTTACTAATTTATCATGATTGTATATATAGACTCACCTTTAGTCATATTTCCAGAATGTTCTTATTTACTGTTCTTAGACATAACAAGTTATATATCTGTCACAAAACACATATAATGTTAACACTTTAAGATTGGGACACAAATAATCCAGCTTGAATTTTATTGGATATTGTTTATTTATACAAAATTAATAACTATCACTTAATAATACACAAATATCACTATAGTTTCTAGCACTTTTATCAATTCCGTACGCATATAATGCTTGGTTAATAAACAGAAAAACACACATTCCTTGTAGACAGTACAGATTACAAATGTACTGTATAAATATCAAGTCGTACACTCCACGCTGCTTGCAACGTGACCGCTATACACATATATACGTAGTAGTAAATACACTACAGGTGGCTACGCATGTGCTAAATGGTCACGACCACAGCCAAACCTCAGCTATTTGCATACGATTTATACTTATATATTGATTTGATTGTATTACCTAGTATTACCAATACATTCACGTTTTATGTTACTCAATAATTGATAGAGATATATATTTTGATTGGCAACTTTAGAAGTTATCTAAAAGTATTCGTTTAAACATTTACTAACTTATTAACTTTTGCTTGCTCTTGAATATGTTAATATAAAAATACTTATTTTGTTAAGTTCCCTATTTACAAAATCCTCAGAAACTTCCCCTTTTTATTGATGAAAACGGGATAAAACTGAATTGCTCTGCAATTTCAAACTCTATTGTTATTTAGCCGTAGATACATTTTTAAAAATCATACTTTTTGACATTGCATGATATTGTCATCAAACACCCTATGTCAATGTCATTGTCATTTTGACAACGAACAATGTTGCCATAATTTGACCTGAAAAAAACGAAAAAAAAAATCAAAGAAACGACGGTAAATCGAGATTTGCATCAAAAGAAGAGGGACCATTAAACCAAGAACATTCTTGATTTTTGTAGGAAAGAAAACATTGTGACTTAATGGACCAATCCAAAAATTTACAGTGATATCTACTTTTTGAACAGTACTTTTGATTTGATACGATGAGACATCGTCGTTAAGCGCTCATGCTTTAATTATAAAAAAAACTGTAAACCTACGTCAATTTTAAAAACTGTATGGTCACATACATTTTATATTCTGTACCCATTTTAAATACTCTTTGTACACATATGTTATCTATGGTCCTTTCAGTTCCAATTCTTTCAAAAGTGTCCCTCAAAGTAAACGTACGTAAATATTGCAGCGTATTTTATATCCATCATAATCATGTTGTTTTTTAATAATTCCCTTGTAGAAATCTTAATAACTTCATTGCTTGGTTATAAAATTGCTAGTTTAACCTTTATTTGAAGATTTTTTATTGTTCTAGTGAGGGCTGACAGTGTTTAAAAATGGGTCGTGTGATTCGTGCTCAACGTAAAGGTGCCGGTTCTGTCTTCGTATCACATACGAAGAAAAGGAAAGGAGCACCTAAGCTACGCTCCCTAGATTATGCCGAACGTCATGGTTATATTAAAGGCGTTGTAAAGGTAAATAATCAGAGGTTATGCTTCCATACATTTGTACACTTGTCCATTTGTTGAAACTTTGTTTTTTTTTGCTTAGGACATCATCCATGATCCCGGAAGAGGTGCTCCTCTGGCTGTCGTTCATTTTAGGGACCCTTACAAGTTTAAGACTCGTAAAGAACTTTTTATTGCACCTGAAGGCCTTTATACCGGCCAGTTTTTGTACTGCGGGAAAAAAGCAACCCTGGAAGTTGGTGAGTAAAGACATGATGATTATTACTAAGAGAACTCTTAGATTGTTATAGCAAAATATGCAATCTAATTATTTACTTTTAATGCAATGTGGTATAAGTGTCATTCCAAAATTTATTGCAACTTAAAGTTATCTTTCAGTTTGTTTCATTTATGAATATGATTATGTTAATCAAACGACCTTAAAACCATGTAGTGCACAGATTTTATAACTTGTAAATGTAACTTGACAGCATAGAAGTTCTGTACCAACAACAAGTAAATACTAAAGCGATTAAAGTTTGTTAAATATCAACCGAGTTTTTAAATCTACCAATTTATAGAAAATTTAAGAGGGATTTCTAGACCTTTCTATATTGTTTAATGGGTAATCCTGTACCTTGAATATTATGTACTTAATTAAAATTTGAAATGTTTCAGGAAATGTAATGCCTGTTGGGTCCATGCCTGAGGGTACAATTGTTTGCAACCTGGAAGAGAAGATGGGTGACCGAGGTCGGCTGGCTCGTGCTTCGGGCAATTTTGCCACAGTCATTGGCCACAACCCTGATGCCAAACGTACCAGAGTTAAGCTTCCATCAGGCGCAAAGAAAGTTCTACCCTCAAGCAACAGGGGCATGGTTGGTAAGTTATTATTACTTGTAGGTTACTTGTGTGGGATAAGAACAAGGTTAAAAATCCAGTTTTGTTAAAAAAAATTTAGAAATTAATTTTAAAAAAAGTTATGTAAATGATGACTTTCACTTACCTACTCTGAAAGATTATGATTACACAGAGGCTCTTTCTGATGGATACATTTGTATAAAAAACTTTAAATTTGAAATACAATGTTTTACATAGTAATATATTGTTGTCAGGTATTGTTGCCGGAGGTGGACGTATTGACAAACCTATCCTGAAGGCAGGTCGTGCATACCACAAATACAAGGTTAAGCGTAACTGCTGGCCATATGTACGAGGTGTGAGCATGAACCCTGTGGAGCATCCTCACGGTGGTGGTAATCACCAGCATATCGGTAAGTTTCGCAATTGTAAATTTGTTATCTTTAAAAAAAATAATTTGAGACTAAGTGGAAGTTGCTATTGCGATTCCCACATTGAAAGAAAAATTTGTTAAACATCAATTTTTGTAGTATAGAAAACCATGGCAGTTTTTATATGAGCCACTTGTTAATGTAATGTTTGGTGGGCAGGTAAGGCGTCCACAGTGAAGAGAGGAACATCCGCCGGTCGCAAGGTCGGTCTGATCGCCGCGCGCAGGACCGGAAGAATCCGTGGTGGCAAGACCGACACAAAGAAGGAGACGTAAATTGTCTTTATACACTAAATAAACTTTTTAAACCCATTGAATCTTTCATTTTTAGTTACACGCATCCCTATTTAGTATAAAGTTTGTATGGAGAAATGTTTTCTGTCTGCCTCATATTATCTCCAAGCAGTCAAATTACATTCAACTTTTATAGTCTGGGTTAGCATTTACTAAATAATACGCATCTTATTGTTTTGTAAATTACAGCTTAGTTTATTTAAAAGATTTATGCTTATTGTCAATAATATCGTCTACAACTTCTGAAATGTCAATTTCACTATCGTCTTTATCTGTTATTTTTTTCGGCCTAACGAATGCTGTATGATTATGATGTAGAGCATATTCGGAGTCATCTAGAATTGAGCTACCCAGGCTTGTGTTGCTGCCGCCGAGGCTGGTCTTTGTCATCGTTGGCCCTTGTAGCACATCCACTCCTCCCACTAAAGCAGTTGAGAGAGTTGGGTTACGGCGCGTTAGTTGCGATTCGATGCTTTGTTTTAGCTCTGCTATTTTTGGACTAGTGCGCGTGCTGAGTTTTATTGATTTCTCCTGTTTTAGCGGTTCATTTTCTATGCTGTAAAAATCAAACCAAGTAAAGTAAATAACGATTTAAATTATTTGTCTGACGTTGACGTTTTCGTATGTAAAATTGCATCGTGTTCAATATTTAGTACTAAATGATACAAAGGTATTTAAGACGGACATACATTGGCGGAAATGGTTAGGGGTTGATTATGGCCTAGTGACCTAACTTAAGGAATGCTCCTAGTCCCTTGTTCTCTCCCCGTGCTGTGAAAAATTAAAATTTTGGCATACCTTGATAAATCCCATTCTTCAGTATCAAGATTTATGATTCCTAATTCGGTTTTCTCATTCTTATCACTTCTTTCAGTTATACTCTGTGATGGCGACGCACTAACAGATTTCATTTGTATAGCATCCATATCAAATATTACTTTCTTTTTATATAAGGAAGACATTGAGGATGCACTTTTCAGTACTCCTTTGGTTTGCTTTTGGTCATTTACATTTTCATCAGAAATAGCATTTCTTAATCCGTGGTCTGTTATCGAAGCTATATCATCACTGCTGTTGTCACTACCGTGATTTTTTAAATAACGGTTTGGTTTATTCGTGTCCGTTTGTTCAAATGCATCCGTTATTTTAGTTTCACCACCTTTTTCTTGCGCATTATAATCATAGACAGCACTACTAGTGGCAGGGCGTCGAGGTTGTGATTTTAAGTTGATTTGGTTCAATTTGTCGTTCGATACATCAGTTATGTTTGAATCATATTCTTCGCTACTACCGGAAACTTTGTAGTTTTTGTCATCGTAACTATTTTTCAGTTTATTTGTTTTTGCATTTTCTTTGATGATCTCTTTTGATTCTTTTGTGTCGTGTGTTTCATTTTCCAAATTTAGTTTGTGATTTTTTGGGCTTGGTGTTTTAAGTAAAAATAGAGCTTTTCTTGTAACATTATCGTATGGTGTTTTATCTTCTTTCTTCAATCCGTCGTTTGTTTTTACTAAAGATAATGCTTTCGATTTTACATTTGAGATGACGGACGTTAAGCTGAATGGTTTTGAAGATTTATTTGGAGAAAAATATTCATCTTCTTGAAAAGTCTTTTTATTTGTGATTGTAGTTTTTTTGTCCAAATAAGACATAATGTAGTGATTAATTTTTTCACGTGTAGGATTTTTCTAAAAATTAAATTAAATTTTTGTTGCTGGTACTAAATAGAACAAAACATTACTAAAATAAAGATAAAACGTTTACGAACTGTTTACATTTGAAATCAAAAGAATTTGAATAAAACTTAACAAAAACAATTTTGTTAAGTTAAGTTTTTCCTACCTTTGATTTTATTTCGTTGTTTTCTTGAAGTTGTTGTCGCTGCCTGTTGAAAATATCTCGAGGTAGTCTTTTCTTCAAAGGATCGACACCGAGCGACACGAGGCGCTGATTCACTTCTTCTGTTAATTTTGCTCTTACAACTTTTATTGGGCTAAAAATCGAAAGTTACTATGTAAACATGTTGTTTATCTAAAATTATACAAAAACGTGATAGACATGTTTTTTTAATTCGACATAATTTTGTATTAGGTTAGAAGAAACTTACACCTTAAAAATTACATTATGTATACGTTTACCTTCCTCTCTTGTTCACAGGTCCGTCAACCTTTTTTATCGGAGATTTAATTTTCTTTATTTCTGGACTCTGCACTTTTCGGTTTGTTTCAAAACTTTTATGTTGCGTCTTTTTCGTAATCTTGTCTTTGTTATGAATATATTGTTTATCGTTTTCAAAGTTATCTTCGTTTCTCTTTTTCTTAGTCGTAACTACTTTTCTTACATTTCGATCATCGGCGGGTACATGACTGTTACTATCACTCGTGCTAGAAACCTCGGAAGATGATATCGACTGATTTAGCAGTTCTTGCGCCTTACGATGTAATTTCTCTAGTGTTTTACGGTCCGGCATTGGAGTCGACTTACTGGGAGATTTAACATTTGCAGCATCCTTTACCACATTTTCATTATTGTCGTTTCTATGCTGCCTATTCTGAAATATTTTTTAAAAAAAATTATAAAAATACACGTATATATGAATATACTTTTTAAATTTCGATTTGTTGTAATTCAAATTTCATTGTATACTCACCTCGGTTTTTATGTCATGTTCTTTGTGAATTACAGCCGTTTCCACAATTCTTTTTACATTATCGTTGTTTTGTTCTAAAAGATGCTGCAATTTAACAGCTCGTTGTTTTTCTATTTCTGCTATGTCCCGTGATTCCTTGGCTTCTTTAGCCACTATATCTAATTTTTGAAGCAATAACTTGTATTCTTTAGATTGAGCTTCAGTCCTTTCAGCCCAAAATGCGAGTTGTGCGTCAATTTCTTTTTTCTTCTCTATTTCGTCATTTTTCGATTTTAACCGCTAAAATTCGGAAATATAGAAACGTTACTATTATTTTTCTTGTGAAATATAATTGGTTTTTTTTTTTCTAGAAAATCTTGACAACATTTAAAATTATTTTCATGTAAAACAATAAGAAAGGATTTAAAGTACGCACCGAATTAAACAATTCTTCTTTCAATGACGTTATTTCTGCACTTTGCTGTTTTATCGTATCTTGTAGATGTTCCATTATTTTATTATCATTTGGCACTGAGTTACCTTTGGCTACGTCTTTGTTACAATCTATGATGCTGGAGATTTGTGAGCGGAGAAGACTTATTTCTTTATTGTATTTTTCAAATTCTTCCTTTTTCCATTCTTCAATTTTTTCTAAAATGTAGATTTCACTGTTTGTAGATACTTCAACATCTTTCATCCGTTTCTCTGGACTTTTATTAATAATGTTAGTTTTTATTGTGTGATCATTCGAACAATTTCCTATATCTTTGGTATTTTCTTCCTTTGCAATATTTAGTTCCCGATTATTTTGATCGTTAGTGACTTTTATTAGAACTTCCATTTCTTTTAACTTTGTCTTTAATTCAATGATTTCATTTTGCAGTTTTGATTGTTCGTTATCGATTTGAGTGATTTCATTACGAGGTAAATCTTTTTGAGGTATCTCTACTACATTGCTATGTCGCCGTGAAATATGACTTTTTAAATATAATTGATTCATAAAAACTTTATCGCAATAGCTGCACTTATTGTAATGCACATTGTCGATTTGAGTTGACGATGGAAATATATCACTTTTATTAGCTAATGTTTGTAAAATCATATTTGCAATATTATCATTACCATAAGGAAGCGGAGCTCGTATGTTATATTTAGTTTTGCGTTTAAGCTTTCTCATTTCATCCTCTTTTTCACGTATTGTTTTTTTTGCATACTCAAGTTCCTTAAACAGATTAAAAACCTTGAAAGTCATATGATACATATTTAATTTTTATGTTGGAAAGATATTTAAGTGTTAAAATGATGCAATTGTATTATTATAATCATACCTGAGCTAACCCAGTTATTTCTTCACGTAAAACGAAAACACTCCTGTCAAGGTAATGTCGGCAAAACTGTTGATATTCAACGGCTAACTGAGCTAGCCGAAATATCTTTAGAACACCTTCATCCAGAATACGCACATCGAACTCCGATTCGAGAACACAATCTAAGATCTAAACAAAAATGAGAATTAATTCGAAGATTACACGAGAGTTCTTTTACCGTAATTTATGACAACTTCACACGGATTTTTATAGTTCTAATAGTATGGCTATTATTATAGTGAAGTAAGTAAATGTGTTGTCTTAAGTTTACTCAAAGGACTAAAGCAAAATTAAACAAGTTATGAAACATTCTTACATCATTGATATGTTGTTCGATTTGTACAAACTTTCTATCTCGCATCAAACTCTCTATATCAATTAATCCTGAAACAAATTTAAGTAGTCCGTATTAAATATGCAATAATTGATTATGCATTATCAATAAAATGTTTTTAACATGGAAAAACTTACGAATTTTGTTCCATTCGATGTGAACGCGGGGTTTATGTGTGCTAAATGTGAAGCCGGACTCTTCAGCAAGTTTGGGAAAATTGTGGTGAAGCTCGTATGACGTTTTACAAGCCATTTTAATTATGTTTAATAAAATACAACCATTTTATCGGATTGATTCCACCAAGCACATTGATAAGCACATAAGCAACGTGCTTTGTTTATGTTATGGTTGCCTAGCAACCATAAAAAGCATCGACAATGGATTTTTCTGTTTTTATAACGTATTTGTATCAAAGATAATTTATATGGGTACTTTTAAAAATAATAGAATAAGCACTCAAGGCATGTATTAAAGCAATAGATAAATTGAAGAACGAAGAAGAACAGAAAACATATGGTAAGTGTGAAAACTTAAAACGTGACACAATAACCAACAAGCGGTAACTAATTTCCCCTAACCATTAGGCCATTGGCGCTTAAATATTATACTTTTCCTACAATTTCTTATTAACGAGCTGTTGCCCGCGACTTCGTCCGCGTGGTATTTGAAAACATACGAACTATATAAATAACAAAAAGGTACGTATCCCTCGGGAACCGGACACCTCAGCTTATCCCATGTATACTCCAGACTTTGTTTTACATCTGTGCCAAATTTCAATAAGATATGTTGAACCGTTTCAGAATGATCGAGTAAACATTAAAGAACTAAATTAATGAATCCCACGGGAACCGTAACTTATCCCGGGATAAAAAGTAGCCTATGTGTTCTTCCAGACTATGCCCTAAACCTGTGCCAATTTTCATGGAGATCCGTTCAGCCGTTTAGGCTACAAACGCTAACAAACATCCATCCATCCACACATCCATCTAAACTTTCGCATTTATAATATTAGTAAGATTATTTGTTTGTAAATACCGGGGTATATTTAAATATTAATTTTGTTAATTATATGTCGATCTTACTAATATTATAAATGCTAAAGTTTAGATGGATGGATGCAATGGATGTTTTTAGAGTTTGTAGCCTAAACTGTTGAAATGATCTAAATGTCTGGCATAGATGTAGATCATAGTCTGAAAAAACACGTAGGCTAATTTTAGTCCTAGAAATAGTTACTATTCCCGTAGGATATGTTAATTTATGTTTTTTAATGTTTACTCGATAACTTTGGAACGGTTCAACATATTGGCATATTTAAACAAAACAAAGGAGTAGCTAGTAGTTAGATAATGATGTTATGATAAGGGAAATCAAAGACAATGCTGATGTTATGACACCATCGTGCTGTTTATTGTTTTCATTTGTCCGAGGTACACAGCTTGTTTCATCATAGTTATCGTCGTGCTTATCAACTATAGGAGCAGTCTCTTAGGTTACCGGAGTAGCTGACGATACGTTGTTAGTTTAATATTTTTTTAGTATTTTTGTCGCCAGCCAATGCATACAAACAAAATAATACCAAATGTGTGCAACGTTCAACTGGCCGCATTGAGCGTGAACTCAAAATGATGCAGGCGTCAAACTCATCATTTTAAGTAAATGTTCCTGTAACATCCTGTATATTCTTCGGTCAGCTCGCGGCGTGTTTAAGTTTTCCACTTTGTACAGTTGTAAATGTTGTTGTATAAAAATAATAAATAACGTTTCTTCTGTAGCAGTATCAGATCCAAAGGGCAGCAGCGTGTCGGTCGTCGTGGTGTCATCCGTCTATATGTGCTCACGCGGAAGGTTTCTCCTCGCAGGCGGTCGTAGCTCCGGAGGCCACAGATCCAGATTCCTCCGCTGAAGGTTGGCACGCCAGCGCTGGGAACTTCTGGTAGAGGGCAGCTCGATATTTAGGATGGCTGAAATAACAATGTTTAATTAAAATCGTTGATCTTTGATGATAAATATCCAAAGTAATTTGTAGTGATTTTTGTTCTTTTACCTGATGCCATACACAATAGGGTTGTAGACGGCGTTGGCCTTCGCGAACACCGAGCCCCAAATGGTGGCCAGAGGGCTGATCGGTGCAGTTTCGAACACTCCAGTGTAGTTGATTACCAGATATGGTGTCCACGCCATGAACCATAGTGAAATGGTCATAAGTGCCACCTGAATCGAAATAACACGCATATAGCTGGACATTCATATAAATATAAAATGTATATGAAAGAAATATTGGACCCGATAGTATACCTTCGCCAATTTGCATTCCGCACTTGTGTTGGCGGCTTCGGAGGATCGCAGAGAGGCCACATTCATTTTCTTAGCCTGTTCCCTCATTGCCTTCTCGTGAGCTGCCACAGCCTAAACAGACATTATGTTGTAGTAATTTTGAGATTTCCTAGTCTATGTGTAGTATAATGTGCAAGGCATTTACCTGTACGATGAAGAAGTAGGAGTAGATGATGAGCAAGAGAGGCAGGTAGTACACGAAGATGGAGTAGACGAGGATGTAGCTGCGGCTGAGCCAGCTCTTGCTGAGGTAGTCAGTGCCGCAGGCGGTCATGTTGCCCTCAGGCACGTACCTGATAACAAAACAACGTAATAATTATTTGTGTTTTTATATGATTAGATTGTTTGTCTGAGGCAAATGAAACTCTACTTTACCTGTTCCAGCCAAAGATAGGGGCAATAGTCCAGGCGAGAGAGAACGCCCAAATTCCGAAGATACGTAACAGTGCTCCATTGATGGTCATCGGCTTTGCGGCGATACCCTTTACAATAACATTGTATCGGTCGAAGGCTATCATAGTCATGGTCCAAATCGACACGGAACCGAATAGCGAACCGGCGCAAGCGTACAGTTCACAAGCGAAAGGACCTGAAATTTATACATGTTTGCATTAAGTTGTTATTATTATTAAATGTTTATTAGTCACGATAGGAATTTTTATACGAACCAAAGACCCATGTTTCGTTATAACAATTTATGATCATCGGCGGAGCCATGCACAGCATCATCAGAAAGTCGGAGAAAGCCAGATTTACCACGAGTAAGTTTGATGGCGTTTTGAGACTCTGTAAATTAGCATGCGATTCATAAGAACCAATGTATATTGGCCTAATTCATTTTATAGGAATTAGTATAAAAAATACCTTTGTGGATGTGAAAATGTAAACGACCATTCCGTTACCGGTGATCGATATAAAGCCTAAGACGCCGATCGTGAATCCTAGTAAACCATGCCACATGGGGTTCATAGGTGGGAATTGGTACCTGGAATAACAACACCATCTTAAAACATACCATATTTTATGACGTATAATGTACCAGATTTCTGGTTGATCACTGACAAAGATATGATTAAAGAACATAAAAAACTGAGATACGTCAATGAATGTTAGAGATGGAATACGCCTCTTTTAGTAAATAGTTTGGGAGCAATATGTAAAATAGCATCACTTCAAATATGTCTTGGATATCTTAAAAGGTTATCTAAGAATTACACGAAAATGTTTTGAAATATCCTGCGTACTAAAGACAGGAACTCTTGTACCTACTTTTATCCGGCTAGTTTTTTTTATTGTAAAAGAACTTACCAGTGCGGGTCGATGAGGTGCATCATATCAGGGGTGACCTTGTCGACGACGGTCTGGTTAGAGCCGAAGGCCGCCGCCTGGCCGCCCCAGGCTTCCGACGCTCCCATCCCTGGCTCGTGGATTGCAATTGCCATTGTTTCACGAATGCGTTAAAGTTGGTATCTGTTGCACAAAACAAATCATTAATAAAGGAAAGAAATGATTTTATTTTAAAAAACCTATGGTATTTTTGATCGATAATGTAGGATAACTATTTAATGGAATTCTCTAGTAGACTTACAAAAAAAGGAAAGGGAATGTGAGCCTGAGATGGTTAATAACAAAAATACTGAAGAAAATCGTTATACGAACTACTCCAGTCTTTAGTGTGCTATAAACCAATCTCCGGCTGAACGCCGTGGCTGTGTTGCGGAGGCTACTCGTCTTTGGATCTATCGCATACCCCTTTTATACTCCTCGTGAGGAAGTGCATAATGTGTCACTAAAAATCGATATTCATAATAAGATAACGTAGCCAACGTCTTAGAAGTTACTTCTCAAGGTATACCTTTTATACAGGGCCGGCTGAAAATTTTCTTTTTCTTTTTTTTACACATTAAGTGGCAAACGAGCTAGACGTTACCCAAATTCACCGAAATACCGATGCTACCATTGGTTTTAGACATCATGGTAAAGTATGAAGTTTTTCCCTTTAACTCAAGAAACAATAAGTCAATTTTCTTACCAGACTTGAACATCATTGTTTTGTGTTCTATTGATTTACAGTGTGAGCGTGGAGAAACACGTGGTTGTAACGGGAGTGCGCAAACTTTATGGAAATATTGAGGTATAGGTTATTGATCCAATCTGTTTTCGGTGTATAGGCTGGTTTGCTGAAAATAGACATTAAATCACATTTACTATTAAACTTTCATTAAATCCCGATGAATACTGAATTTACTATAAAGTTACTTCACCGAATATTGTATTTCCACTTATTTAAAATAGCGATAGTGATCGTGAACAGAAGAAAAATCAGGTTCGGCTCGGGAGGTGGTTATTTAACATAAGATGACACGCATCTTGTATATACCTAATTATACTTAAAAAAAAGAAATACCTCCCTGTATTTAAGTAGAAGGCTAATGTCGTTACGTCAACGAGCTCACAAAGTCGGTATTAAGAACAAAAATATCAACCCTAAGTGGATTATTCCTTATTGACTTGGGTGTTACGTAAATATGCTAAGATGTGCAGTTATTATTAAAAATGCTAATAATTTACAATTTGTCACCTTTGCACAATTTTCTTTAATGCAGATATAATTATCATATTAGCATGCATAAGGTTTTGCGTAAGTTTTTGTATACAATAAATTAATTTAATACAGGCTTCATGTACATTGTATAATAGCAAAGCATTCTTAATAGACAGATTTACAGCCCGCACTATTTAATAAGGTGCAGTCGCGGAAATCCGCGCTAATAATAGCCAATTAGATAGCAATGTGTGGAGCAAACGAAGGAATAATAATAAAAAAGATACTAGCTATGTATCACTACACGACATTTTTTTCGTACGTTTTTGTTCCGGGTCGCGTTTCAAACTGTTCAACCCATTGTAGCTTTTATGGTGGAACCGGCCAGTTTCCTCTACTGTCCTTTTAAAACACGCCACATTGGATGCGTAGAATTTTATATGATTTTTCTAACATGATAGAACGATCTAAAATTTCATCATCATTATCATCATCAGCCTTTGTCAAACTACTGCTGGACAATGCTTTCGGCAATGCCTTCTATGAGCGGTACTAAGGATTCAGCGACCCGTTACCATTTCATCATGCTTACTGCCTTTGAGAACTATGTCGTTTATTTTGGATAATCAAATATCTTCATATCGGATTTCATCCGTTAGATATTTAAAATACAAGAAAATTAATTTCAAAAACCGTTATTGCTAAGTTAGAGAATGTTAAACGCAATTGACTTTGTTCGATAATCTAAATTCGACTGTACAATACTTAACATGTATTTAATATGTACTAATAAAATATCATAAATGTTTTTAATAGAACCTAAGTGTTATTAAAATATTCAGACTTACAATTACATCATTTAAACACCATGGCCCAAAACAGCTTCTAAAACTATTGCTTGATCAGTTCAAAAAATTTAGTTTTAAAACCTTGTCTGGAAGTCACTACCTTCTCTGGCTGATCCAGAAGAATGAAACGCAAGACAATCCAATGGAATGCAGATGTAAATTAGCTTAACATGTACTTCTTTAAATTTCTTAGCGTAATTCCTTACAAGTTCGAATTCCAAGACAATTAACTTACAACGTAATAAGTGAACCACTTAAACTGCAGACATTGTCGAAAAGAGTTATACATTAATGTGAACGTATTGAATAAAGTTTTATCAAACTTCTGCATTAAACCTTTTAAAGTCCGCTAATAAAAATATGTTTGAAAACAAGTTAATCATTATCGATCGATTTGTTTGGGGAGGTGAGTATAACTTTTTTTGTTGTAAATACCTACTTTGTCAGTTAGCTACGTTTTGCTAAATTTTTATAAAGTTCGATATCTTTAAGTACTACTATAGTACTAAATGAATTGTGTTCTCAAAAGGAATACAAAGGTGATGGTTTTACATAGACATCATTCTAATGAATGGGATTTGTTTTGTTTTACATTGGATACGTGAATAACTAGTGCATGCTCCTGCTACATATGTATCAAAGACCTGATGATATAACTAACATCGACTAAGCACCAAACCAGGATTATGACTTAGACGTATTAAGATTTTGGTGACCTTTTCTAAAGGTCAATTTTAGCAAAGCAGTACTAAAACCTAATGACATTAACATAGCTCAATCAAAACAGGGTAACTTAATTTGACTAAGAGGAAATTTTTAAATCGCAGATTTCTCATGATTTTGAGTGATACTATTAGGCATTTTGCAGTTAAGACTCAAGACCAATGTATGTTCATATATAGCGAGCTTGACCGTATTGCAAAGATAATTTTGCATCCACAGCGAATGATATCGTGCCTTGAGTTTTTACGCACAATGTGTGGAAGTTTACAGTTTGGTCTGCCTATGTGCTATTGGCAGTATAAGCATGGAACCATTGTTTAGGCCAACTCAGAGTAAAGACCCGATGACCATATTAATTTACTACGAAGAAATAGTGAAGCAATAATTTTTCAGCCATGATTTTATCAATTCATGGACACTAGAAAAAACATGCACGGGCATCGATGGACAAGCTATTTGATTCTTTCATTTTGTAATTATTATTAAAAGATATCTGGAATAAAAATATCATTATCGATAGCATTTATACCATAGACTTTTGATAATTTCGAATCCAAATCTGGCCACACTGAATTTGACAGTGACACTGACAGGATTTTCAAATTCAAACTTTTAGGTTGCTTAATACTTAGTTTATTTTGTTTCCGTTTATTTATTTTGTTTTTATTTTATATAGAAAATTGCAGTATTTGTATTAGTTTTGATATATTAGAGTTGTTGTTAAATAATTTAATAGAATGTTTTAAAGATAATGAACATGGAATATGAAAACATCGAACTAAGCGACGACGAAGAAGAAATCACAGCTCAAACGGTACTCAAAACACTGCAAAATGCATGGCAAAATGAACGGCTAGCACCGGAAATTCTACCACATCAAAATGAAATGGTTGAGTGTATGTTGGGACAAATACAGCATATGGAAAAGAATATAAACAAACTTCCAAAAACTGATCTTCGTGCTTCTATACATAAGATGGAACTAAACAGAATTAAGTTTATTATTTGCAATTATTTGAAAACAAGGTTAGATAAAATAGAAAAGTATTGCATTTCCATAATGAATGATGAAAAACAAAGAGTAGAATCTGGTACTAATTATTTGACTCCGCAAGAGTACAAGTATGCTCAGGAATATTTGATGAATATGGAAAGTCATTTAAAAGAAGCAGCTTTAGATCATGTGCCAGGGAACATGCAAAGCTTTGACCTTAACAAGTTAGTCATTTATCCTAATTTACAAGCACATGTGTTCCTGAGAGCAAATGAGACAGTAACAGGAATTATTTTAGAAGATCTGGGCGGTGATCAAGATGAAGAAATAGATTTAGAAGGTAAATAATTTATCAAATTAATTATTCACTCAAGTGGATGTATAACTTAACTGTTGTTGTTTTGTTTTAGGATTCCAAATACTTCATATTCTGAATTATATATTTTTTAACTTTCTGTGTGAACAATTATTTTTCAGAAAATTCACAACATATCCTTCAGTACAAGCCAATTGCAGATTTATTAAAAAGTGGAAAAGTACAACTTATGTAATGATCATAGGAAACATTTGAAAAGTTTGGTAATTTAATGTAGGTTAATAAATTTTTATTATATATAAGTTTTTTTTTATTTATATGAAGGTGGTAGAAGCTATTCACCAGATTTTATGATTCTTTCCTTTTGATATTACTTACCTTTCTCATAAAATTATGTTGGGATATTTCCAAATTCCTATCATCCCTTCAAATCCCTTACCAGCCAGATCATAATGTTGTCAATACAATAAATAAGAATTTATCAAGAAATGAAACAAAACATAAAAATCGAAACCTTTTAATTTTTAACACACTTTAATTTGTGTCATACACAAATTAAAAATTTTACTTTTCTTTCAATTAGCAATTTTTTTTATACAGTTTACCTAAAATAGTATACACTGGTCTATTTACTCTAAAATGGTATATCTTTTGACATACACTTTGTTTTTATGTTTTACAGCTGAAATAAATTAATTAAAAATGCATGTAGATTAAATATAGGTTGAATTTTCTTTTTAACAGCTTAAATTATATGACAAACACATCTTTCATCTTGGTAAACATTAGTTCAATAAATATAAATGTAACTTCAGTATAATTTAAATCTTAAAAAAGCAGTATTTAAAAAAATATTTAAAGTACATATATAAGTAAATATTCTTAAAGGATAATCCACTTAAGTACTACATGTGCATAATAACATGGTAGTTAGCAAATGTAATATAATACAATAATTAAAAAAGTATGTCTTTGTTGCATTATGTAATATCATAAGCATCTTCAGTTATGTTATATGCTTACCTAGTATATAGCTTTTAAGTATCTTATTCTTAAGCTACATTAAGTTTCATGTCCATTTTTGTATACCTACAATCTTTTATAGAGTATTTCACTTTATTGTAATAATTTATGTCCCTTAAATCAGTGTAAAATAGATTATAAAATATGTTTTTTTTTGTCTATGGTTTTTCTTGCTTAAATGCAATGTGTGTATTATAAAATATCTTCTTAAACTAAACTTAAATCTCAAGTAGTTATTTCTGCACACACTTAACAAGGTAGTAAAATTACACAAACATTGTTATCAAGAATTAAATAATAAAATAGTTGGGTATATTTGTAAAACTTGAATTTTGTTATTTAAGTACCTAAAGGTAACTTTATCTAAATCCTTAGCACCATGAGAGCAGTTTAATGCACAAAAGTGGACATTCTTTTTATTTTTATTTTATTTTAAGTAACAAAATGTAAATAAGTTAAGTATTATTACAAACTAAAGTGTAACTTAGATGTTTAAGTCAGGTTTCTATAACTGGTCTATTCCGCTTAATATTAGCGTGAGTTTTAATTTCTGGTGACCACTTTTTTAGTTATATATGTAAGGTATGTTTATTTTAGAATAGATTTCAATGATATATTTAGGAGATAGTTGAATGTGTTTTTTAATTGTTTTTAGCACACCAATACATCCAATGTCTAATTGTTTAGATATAAAGATCAACATTCTCATGAATTATATTCGAGATACTATTGTTAAAATTTAATGTTCAAATGGAGTGTTTCAAATGTAACCGATATTGTCCTGAGTAATACATATGTCTATTTATATAGGTCTCATATACATTCCCAGAATCTGGCTATATCTCGGGGGCAGCAACCATAATTTTTTATATATTTCGAGACCCTCTTGCTACGATCAGTGTTTTCTATATAAAAGTGTGTGTTGGCTGTTAAAATTAGGCATTGTGAAATCAACGGCGGATCCAGGCGGGGAAGGGGGGTCATGGGGTCATGAACCTTCCCTGAGCTAACCAGCTCCTGACCAACCGGTCGAGAGCTCTTGACTTAACCACGACTATGTGACCCCTCCATGGCGCCAAAGCTGGATCCGCCCTTGGGTGAAATACACCGAACAGTCTATTCAAAGTTCTCATAACCACTTAACTAAATATAATTTTGAATGTTAACTGTTGTAACACATGTATAAGAACACATCTGAACAGAATGTCCTCATTATTGTCATACAGAGGTTACGACAATGGTGTACGTGGAGGTTAAAGACATTTAAGAAATATGTAGACTAGGCATAGAGAACGAATTTTTTTTTGAAATTTTCTCTCAAAGGTACTATATCAGTTGTCAAGTTCAGTACGCCACATCGTGTCCTGGTATTGATATCCAATAAAACAGCTCCATCTTTTGTTATAAAAACAAACTAGACAGTAGCAGAAAATAAAAATATGAACATTTAAATTGGGTATTAATTTAAATACAATTAATTACATTGACACGTTTTGAAGATCTATTAACAAATAGCGTTAGTGATAATGTGAAAAATGTTTGAAGTGAAGTGTGAAGTATGCCATCTCTGGTGGGTGTGACGAGAGGCGGCGCTAGTGCTGGTCGTCGGCGTCGGCGTCGACGTACCGGATGTGGTGCGCGTGCGCGAGGCGCGCGACGTTGCGCAGACTCTGCTCGGAGGCGGCGCCGAGTTGCTGCACCATGCGCACGAACTGACCGTCGCTCTTCTGCAGCAGCTCGTGCGGGTGGCCGCACTCCACTATCTGACCCGCCTCCATCACCTGATACCATCATACAAATATAAATGCGAAAGTTTAGGTGGATGTTGTTGGAGTTTGCAGCCTGAACGGCTGAACGGATTTCGATGGAAGCCGTAGATATAGAGGATAGTCTGGAAGAACACAATCTATTCACTTTTTTTTTTTATAATTTCACGCAGACGAAGTCGCGGGCAAAAGCTAGTATTTATATAAAACTGTTCAGTGACATAAAATTATTAGTACTCTAGAGTTCTCAGTGCAATCAACCATTAAATAGTTTTAAATTCTATTACATTAAAATGATATAATAAATTATGTTTAACAAATATATCGGACGAGCTGTCGCCCGCAAACGAACACAAACAAACACTACAAACGAACCCTCCAATTTTATTACGTGTATAGATATAGATAGAAGATTAGTATGACGGTGAATTTGATCGATTGACGTATCAAATCATGACCACCTTTCAGAACTACTGTCGTCGTAGCCTCTTATCGTTTTTATCATATTTATATCGTCTGGATATATATAAAATATGTTCTATTAAATATTGCAATTTACGTATCATGGTTGACTCGGAGTCACTTGGTCACTAAGTGGTAAGGACAAGAGCAGGGTTGTGAGAGCGGTGAGAGACTTACGATGACGCGGTCGGAGTCGGCGACGGTGTGCAGGCGGTGCGCTACGGTGATCACGGTGCACTCCGAGAAGTGCTTGCGGATCGATTTCTGGATCAACGCGTCCGTACTAAAAAAATTGATTTCATCAGTTTAAAAATTTTATAACCGTTAAATTATACTTTAATAAATATCATCACCATCACCAGCGCTCTATACGTCCAGACTGAGGGTCTCGGACTCTACACTAAAAAATTATGTACATATGAATTCGAAAACCGAAAATCACATTTGTATATACCGGGATTCGAACCCAAGACCTGCAGATTAAACCCCTGAGCTAGTAAATATCGTGAGAAGAGAGCACTTACAAGAGCCGATAAAAACATATTCTCTTGTAAGTGCTGTGTACACCTGTCATCCGTTTGTTTTTTTTGTCTATAATATACCTTATTTGATTGTGAATTTTGAACATGCAATTGGTGTTCCTTATAAATAAATATACAAACAAACAAGCAAACAAACAAACCAACCAACCAATCGATCGATGAAGCCTTCGACCAACCAATCGTAAAACCAATCGCCAAAACAATCATCCAACCAATTGCCCAACCAATCGACCAATTAATCGTCCAACCAATCAACCAACCAACCAATCGACCAACCATCAGTCAGTCAGTCAATAAACATATGTGTGTGTGTTACTTGGGGTCGACGTTGGCGGTGGCCTCGTCGAGCACGAGTAGGCGGTTGCGGGCGAGCGCGGCGCGCGCCAGGCACACGAGCTGGCGCTGGCCGGCGCTGAAGTTGCCGCCGCCCGCCGTCACCGCCGCCGACAGCGACGACACGCTCTGCTTCAGCTCCACCTGCACACACGTCGCACTCGCTATCATTACGCTAATTATCTATATCTATAATGAAGCGTAAACACACTAATCATTTACGTAGAACGTCAGCAATCACAATATTTTTTGAATAATTCTATTATGAATTAAAAACCTTACATTTACAACACGATATATGGTGTCTAATTTGACGCTATTAAACTTAGAGGGTGAATACAGAGAAAAAACCATTATGCAGGAAAGGGACAAAAACTACAATGCTGCCAATAGAAAAGCAGCAAGCTTGCCATGGAAACAAATGAATTTTACTTGCAATTGTAACTTTTACGAAACAATAAAATACAATTTTTATAATGTAATGCGGATGAAACCGCATTGGAACAGCTAGAGTACTAATAAGGAACCAGCGTCATTAATTGCAACAAATTTTCAAGTCCACATACGGACTTCGCGACATATAAGTGTGCATCCTAACTTTATAAATGTACAGATTTATCTCGGGTGGGTACCTGCTCTAGCGCCTTCCAAATCTCGGCGTCGGTGTACTTGTCGAAGGGGTCCATGTTGTACCGCACGCTGGCCGAGAACAGCACCGGCTCCTGCGGGATGATGGCGATCTTCGACCTTAAGTCCTGGAACATTTTACCAAGAACGGCTGTAAGTGTGCTACCACCAAACCTTACTAATATTATAAATACGAAAGTTTAGGTGGATGGATGTTTGTTAGAGTTTGTAGCCTAAGCAGCTGAACGGATTTCGATGAAATGTAACAGATTAGAGGATTATTTGGAACATACACTGCTCACTTTTGTTTTATTTTAATTCAAAAGACGAAGTCACGGGCGAGAGCTAGTATATTACAGAAATTGGATAATTTAGTATAATATAATACAGAAATTAGATAATTGCACGTCGTCATGATACCTTTAGTGCAATAGATCCGGTTTCGACGTCATCGATGTAGATTTGTCCGTCGATGGGCGCGAGGCGGAACAGCGCAGAGATGAGCGAGGACTTGCCGGCGCCCGTGCGGCCCACTACACCCACCTGACA